TAGTATTTTTATATATCAATACTGATATTGCTGAAAGGGATATCAAGAAAGCAATCCCAATCACAATAGCTACAACTATAAAATAAAGTACTTAATTTTTAAGCTTTATTTATTTATTTGAGAGGTAGAGTTACACACACACACACACACACACACAGAGAGAGAGAGAGAGAGAGAGAGAGAGAGAGAGAGAAAGGTCTTCTATCCTCTGGTTCACTCCACAAATGACTGCAATGGTTGGAACTGGGCCCATCTGAAGCCAGGAGCCAGGGGCTTCTTCCGGGCCTCCCATATGGGTTTAGGGGCCCAAGCACTTCAGCCATCTTCTACTGTTTTCCCAGGCCATAGCAGAGAGCTGGATCAAAGAACAGCTGGGATTTGAACCAGCGCCCATATGGGATGCTGGTGCTGCAGGCAGAGGCTTAGCTCACTATGCCATAGCACCAGCCCCTACAAAATAAAATATTTAGGGAAAAAAAAAACTTAACCAAAGAAGTGAAAGATCTTAAAATGAAAATCATAAAACACTGATGAAAGTAATCATTGAGTACACAAAAAATTGGAAAGATATTCCTTGCTCATGGGTTGGAAGAATTAACATTATTAAAATGTCCATACTACCTAAAGCAATTTGCAGATTAAATGGAATCTCTATCTTTTTTAAAAAACAAATTTAAGACATTGTATTTGAAAGGCAGAGTTACTGGGAGAAGAGAGAGTGAAAAAAAAATCTTTCATCTGCTGGTTCACTCTCCAAATGGCCATATCAGCTACGGTTGGGCCAGGCTGAAGCCTGGATTCCCATATGGGTGGCACAGTCCCAAGTACTTGGAACATCTTCTGCTGCTTGCCCAGGAGCAGCAGCTGAGGCTTGAACTGGTGCTCAAATGAAATGCCAGTGTCACAGGTGGTGGCTTAAACTGCTGCACCATGCCACTGGTCCCTGTAGTCCCTATCAAAATACCAATGACAGTTTTTACAGAATAGAAAAATAAAGCTAAAATTCATGTGGAACCACAATAGACCCAGAATAGCCAAAGCAATCCTAAGCAGCAGGGGGAGGGAAGGGTAGAATTTAGCTGGAGGCATGGCAATACCTGATTTCAAAGCATACTGCAAAGTTATAGTAATTAAAACAGCAAGGTACTGATATAAAAATGACACATATATTGATATAATAGAGAACCCCAAAATATACCCATGTTTGTACAGCCAACTGATTTTTAACAAAAATGTCCAAAACATACATTGATGAAAGGATAGTCTTTTCAATACATGGTGTTGGCAAAACTGGAGGTATATATAGAGAAGAATGAAATTAGATTCCCTGCTCACCATATACCTAAATAAACTAAAGATGGATCAAAGATCTAAGTTTAAGATATAAAAGTATGAAACTGCTAGAAGAAAACATAGGGCAGACACTTGAAAACATTGGTGTAGGCAATGCTTTTTGTATAAGACCTCAGAAGAACATGCAACAAAAGCAAAACAAGACAAATAAAATTATATTAAACTCAGAAGCTTCTGCACAGCAAAGGCAACGATAGAGTGATGAGACATCTGACAGAATGGGAGAAAATATTTGCAGGCTACTTACGTGACATACAATTAATATCCTGAATTTATTGGGAAGTCTAAAAACAACAAAAAGACAACCAATCTATTGAAGAAATGGAATTGAATAGACATTTCTGAAATGAAGAGTTACAAATGCTCACCTAATTTATAAAAAATGCCAAATATCACTAGCCACCAGGGAAATACAAGTCACAAACAGAATTAAGTATCAAAAATCACCTCATTTGCTATAATGAATATTATTATTAAAAAGATAGAAGGTAACAAATGCTGACTAGGATGTGTAGGGAAACTCATACACTATTAGTGGGAATGTAAATTAGTATAGCCACTATGGAAAACACAGTGGAGATAACTTTAAAAAAAATACCTGCTATATGATCCAGCAATCTCACTATTGGGCATATATCCAGAAGACATAAAGTTACTGTATCAAAGAGATACCTCCTCCACCATGTTTATCACAGCACTATTCACAACAGCCAAAATATGGAATCAACCAAAGTGTCTATAAGCAAATGAATGGATAAAGAACAGAGTGTTATCCAATCATAAAAGAATGAAATCCTATCATTTGCAGCAAACCAAATGGAACTGGGGACATTGTATAAAGTGAAATAAGCCATGTGAAAGCTAAAAAACAAAAACGTACCTCAATCTGAATCCAGAATGGTGATTGCTAGAGACTGGGAGGGGTAGGGAGTTAAAAAATGGGTACCACTTTCTCTCTCTCTTTCTCTCTCTCTCTCACTGTCTGTGGCTCTATCTGTCAAATAAATAAATTAAAAAAAAAAAAAGAAAGGGCACCAGGTTCTAGTCCTGGTTGCTCCTCTTCCAGTCCAGCTCTCTGCTGTGGCCCAGGAGTGCAGTGGAGGATGCCCAGGTGCTTGGGCCCTGCACCCGCATGGGAGACCAGGAGGAGGCACCTGGCTCCTGGCATAGCTCCGACCATTGCAGCCATTTGGGGGGTGAACCATAGGAAGGAAGACCTTTCTCTCTGTCTCTCTCACTGTCTGTGGCTCTACCTGTCAAATAAATAAATTAAAAAAGAAAAAGAAAATGCGTACCAAATCAGAGACAGATCAAAGGAGCAAGTTCCTAGTATTGTACAACAGAGTGGGGTGACTATGGTTTATAATAACCTAGTAAATATTTTATAAGTAAATAGTGGAAAGGAGCTGCCAGCCTCCAATCCTAAAGAAATGTCAAAGGGAACATGCTGATTACTCCCAATACACATTGTATATACATGTATTGAATTATCACACTGTAGCCCAAAAATACATTTAGTAAAAATTTTAAAAATAAACTGCCAATTTCTGTGTGAATAAAAAACAGTACATTTGTATTAAAAGTAATTACCAATAAAAAGCATTTGCTCATACTATTTTGCTATTTGTTTTCTGTTACAGCTTTTTCATCCCTTATCTCCTCTTTTGTGTTTAGTTGATTATTTTTAGTGACCTGTCCTTTCTTCTCATTTCATCTTGTGTGTATTCTATAAATATTTTCTTTGTGGTTTTATAAACCATGGGGTGACATACTATTGGGATTACTAAAATTATAACAAAATGTTTTGAACCACATGCAACACTTAACTCTTACACAGTTCCATCTTCCCCCTTGCATTACTAATGTCAGTGATTAGCTATTTACATATTGTATCCCATTAACATAGATTCATAATGACTTTGTATACATTTATGTTTTAAATCTTGTAAAACAATAAAAGGTGGAGTTACAAGGTAAAATGATAATAATATTGGCTCATATATTTGCCTATGTATTTACCTTTACTGGAGATCTTTATATCTTTATAACTTCCTGTTCCTGTGCAGTATAATTTCATCCAGAAGTACTTCCTTTGGCACTTTTAAAAATTAATTAATTTGAAGAGGATGGAGGGAGAGAAAGAGAGAGAGAGATATATATAGCTAGATATCGATTGATCGATCTGCCATTTGCTGGTTCATTCCCCAAATGGACACAACACCTGGGGCTGGTCCTGGGAAGCTGACACATTACAAGCAGTGACTTAACTGGCTATGTCTCAACACCAACCTGTCTTTAGCACTTCATGCAGGGGTGCTGGTGCCGCAGGTGGAAGATTAGCCTAGTGAGCCGCGACGCTGGCCTTGTCTAGTTTTTATAGACTGCAGCTTGGTTCTGTGCTGGAGTTCTCCTTCACCATATAGCTGGGTCTGCTCTGTCTCTGAGGATCAGTCCAAGGTGAAAGCTTTAGTTCTTCTCAGTGTATCTCTTTTCCCTGGGCATGCACATGGCTTTCTACATTCTCCCATATACCTGGCTGCTTTTGAATGTCCTAATTTCTCCAAGAGTCTCACTTTAGCTTTTTATCTAATTTTTATCTATTAGGTCTAGTTGTTAGACCTAATGTAGTATCTTAAAATTATAATTATAATTTGTTTTAATGACCTTGGGGATGAAGAAGTTAGAAATAAAATCTCAGAGCTGATGAATTTGGATAAGTTTACCATGTGATACCTTTCTTAATCAGGAACTTCAAAGGCATGGCTGCTATGAATATATTTCCAGTGTTCAACCTAGATATCCATTCATACATCTTGTTCCAGAGTAAAACTAAATCAGAAGCAAAATCTTTTCTTACCCCACAAACAAACAAAAAAAAGCAGTGAGTTTTGTTTTAGAAATTAATCAAACCCTTCTGTTTATTTGCATTCAGGTGCATGCAGCCTAAGTGATTAAGAGAAAAATCATGGATTTAATTTGAGACTATATATAAAACAAACTCAAATCCCCTCCTCATTGAAAAAGAACAGAACAGTGAGTATCTTCTACATATCATTTCATAGTTGGTAATATCCAATTAGGAATTTGAAAATGTTGAACAAGCAATCCCTCAAATAGCTGATTCATAAACTCTATCTCTAATTCTACAAGAAATATTTTAATTGCTTATCTGCCCATGATCCAGGAGAGGTGATTAAATTTCTCATGGTGTTTACTGGAACTCCATTTGACTAGATTAGAATCAGAAAATCTTTACCTCTCTCTGTAATTAATTTATTAATTTCTATTTATTTATTTATTTTTTGGACAGGCAGAGTGGACAGTGAGAGAGAGAGACAGAGAGAAAGGTCTTCCTTTACCGTTGGTTCACCCTCCAATGGCTGCCGTGGCCAGCGCACCGCGCTGATCCGAAGGCAGGAGCCAGGTGCTTCTCCTGGTCTCCCATGCGGGTTCAGGGCCCAAGCACTTGGGCCATCCTCCACTGCACTCCCAGGCCACAGCAGAGAGCTGGACAGGAAGAGGGGCAACCAGGACAGAATCCGGCGCCCCGACCGGGACTGAAACCTGGTGTGCCGGCGCCGCAGGTGGAGGATTAGCCTATTGAGCCGTGGCGCCGGCCTCTCTTTATTCTTTATTAGAAGTGAGAGTAGCAAGGATAACGCTATTTTTAAAGAATTTTTTTGTTTCTGTTTACTTCCAAATGTTCTTGGTGCAAACATTCTCTTACAATTGAAGTATAAGAATTTTATTTTGGAAATATTAGCACAACTACAATCCACCCATCTAAGTATGAAAAGAAAGGGACAAACTTTTTCCTTTGGGGAAATATTTATTACATAAATCTATATACACCAAGATATACAAACACAGAAATGTTCCTCTAAATGTTCAGGTATAATGTAAGAAAGGTAGAAGTGTCACTGACTGCAACTGAATATCATTCATGGCACCTTTTGTAGAGAATCATCATCTGTATTTTCTGGATTAGCAAAAGTGAGGAAGACTTGTTCCAGGGTTATCTGACTGATGGAATAATCTTCTAAATCGAATTGCTCTTTAGCTTTCTCCAAAATGCCAAACATCTTTAAGAACAACAAAAAGAAAGTTACATTATGGTCTGATCTCCTCTCCAGCCCCTTATCCAGATGAGTTTTTCCTCCACTTTTCCCAACTTTTGTCAAGTTTATGTTGGAGGACAAGAGGCACAGACAGAAGAGATGAGAAAAAAGAACTCGTTAACTAAGAAGCCAAGAGGAGGCAGTTTTCTGTGCTCATTGTCCTTTCCACATGGACTCATAGTGGGAATGTGTGTGAAAAGTAACCCAAATGCCTCACTCCACCCACAATGTTAGGATCCCATTTCAGATCCAAATCCTAAGTAGTTCTCATCATTAGTGCTCTCTTAACAGATCATGTTAGAAGGGCATAGTTTCTACCATCACCTTTCCCCAGCCGTTGTCCTTGCAGGGAATATAGTAGTTAAGGATCTTTTGATTCTGGTGCTTCAAGTCACTACCTAAGAGGAAAAACAGTACACATGAATAATCTTATAGATTCCATGTATAATCGCTGAAATACTGCTGCACCCATTTAATTATATACAGTGGAGGAGTGAATGGATGGGCTTAATGAAAAGCTGGATATGACCTCCCAAAACTCCCCACTCTTTTTGCTATATATGACATAGTTAATGCTTTTGATTTATTCGTGAGGAACTAGATTATGTAGAGTTCATAGCAATTAATCGGAGCACACAAACTTGCCAGTTTACATTCTCAATGTAAAAAATCCCAAGTTTAAAAAATTCTACTGTTACTACAATACTTTTTTCTAAACATAATGCTGAGAATATGAACTGGGAGAGTTGTCCTTTTCATTGTATGACATGAATGTACAGCATTTGAAAGGGAAAAGAGCAGGACAAATTTGCTTTGTCATGTTAGAGATTATGCAATCTTTTAAAAGATTTACTTATTTATTTGAAGGTCAGAGTTACACGCAGAGAGAGAGAGAGAGAGAGAGAGAGAGGTTCTCCATTTGCTGGTTCACTCCCCAATTGGTCGCAATGACCGGAGCTGCGCCAATCTGAAGCCAGGAGCCAAGAGCCTCCTCTGGGTCTCCCATATGGATGCAGGGACCCAAGCTCTTGGGCCATCTTCCACTGCTTTCCCAGGCCATAGCAGAGAGCTGGATAGGAAGTGGAGCAGCCAGGTCTTGAACCAGTGCCCTTATGGGATGCTGGCACTGCAGGTGGCAGCATTACCCACTATGCCACAACGCTGGCTCCAAGATTATGCAATCTTGATGCTATATAAATCACTGAAGCCAGTCCATGTGTTCATGTCTCTTTTGCAAGTAAGAATCCACTGATGGTATTAGAGATAAGAGGGTGGGTATTCGTTCCTAATTTAGAATACACAGAAGTATTTACACTTACCAATGCATATTTGCAACTTATTGCAAATTGAAATAACTTGGATTAAACATGTTTTAAAGAAAAATATATGTTTGTAATGGTGTAAGAATTTTCTTAATGTTAATCATAAGGCATGTACTGTGTTTTTGTTCATGCAAGTCTCTTTTATTGTGAAATATGAGCATTTCAAACACAGCATAATGAAATATTACAAATAAGCACTAATGAAAACACCCCATCAAGCTCAAGTATTAGTAATCTAGTTACTCATACATGTAACTTCCAAGCCTCAGTATCCCAAAGAAATAAGCAATAACTTCATCAATATTATGAGCGTTTCTTATGACATAGTGGGTTTAGCCTCTGCCTATGGTGGTGGTGCTGGGTGCTAATTCAGGTTCCAGTTGCTCTACTTTCTCTCAACTAAATAAACTCTCAAAAAACTCTGCCTCTTAAATAAATCTTTAAAACATTTTTCCAATACTATCAGCTGTCTCCTCTATCCCTTTGTTGTCTGATCATCTAATTTCTAGCACTTAAAACTGTGATATAGAATTTGTTTTCATATCAACTATCTCATTTGTAAATTTTAATGCTCATACAAGTGTTGAAAGAATAATCTCCATCTGTTTTGTGAAATTATATATCTGCTGTGCTTTCATTATCTGTTAAGTTTTGTTCCTATTTGCTTTTAGTTACTATGTTTTCCTGTGGTGCATAACCACATTCTTTTCTATTGCACATATTTAAGTGAGATGACTTTTCTTATTTTTGGAGAGACATTTCCTGTGTGGGAGGTGGGATGGGACATTATTTGAAAGGCAGAGTCACAGAGAGGGAGAGGCAGAGGCAGAGAGAAAAAAGTCTTCCATTCACTGGTTCACTTGCCAGATGGCTGCAGTGGTTAGAGCTGGGCCAGCCTGAAACCAGGAGCTTCTTTTGGGTCTCTCACATGGGTGCAGGGGCCCAAGAACTTGGGCCGTCTTCTGCTGCTTTCCCAAACACATTAGCAGGGAGCTGGATAGGAAGTGGAGCAGCTGGGACTTAAACCGGTACCTGTATGGGATGCCAGTGCTGCAAGTGGAGGCTTAAGCCACTACACCACAGTGCAAGCCCCTAAAATATAGTTTTGCAGCTGTGGGGTTCCTTCCCCTGAGTCTTCCGCATATTTTAAATAATTTGGCCTCTCAGTGTAGACTTTCTTCTGGTACTTTGTGATATATGCTTCCTGTGGTTATCCCCTTGCTCTAAGCTAAATTAAGGATGCTTTCCTCCAGATATGCGCTTGAGTCTGCTTACAGTCAAAAAATGCTACTGACCACCTACTTCTGTCCACTAGGAACGTCCTGCCCGTATGTGGCAGTCTCAGTGCAAGCTCCCATATAGGAAGAGAGCGCAGAGCTTCATCTCCAGACCCAGTGCTGACAAGGGCAGCTGTTTCGAGTATTTGTATTGTTCTGCTGCACCACAGTGCTGGTCTCTGTTTCCTATTCCTACTGTGTAATCAGTATTTTCCATTCCCAAGAAGATAACATTCCAACTGTAAAGCCTGACTCACAAGAACTTCTATGATATTTTCTTTAACTTAGAAAAATGGTAACTAAGATGAAAAGCCGTAATTGCTAAAATCTTTTCAATGTCTCTGTTTTATGTTTAGAAAAGAGAAGTAAGGGACAGAAAAGACAGCTTCTGTCTTTGGTACCATGCCACGTGGGCAGAGGTGCTTACTGAATTTACTGCCCAGAAGCAAATATACTCTTGAAGGCCCAGAAATACTTACTTGTTCTTGGTCATATTTTATTACCATATCCTGGATGACCAGAGTTATACTATCAGTGAGAAGACAAAAATCTTAAAGCTTTGCATGGACAGTATATGAAAATAACTGAGAATTATGATAAAAACATGACCTTAGAAATATAATTTATATGGACAGTATGAAGATAAAGCTGCCTTAATAAGTGATTCAAGAGTTTGATGACAACCTTTGTTTCTTTTGTGAAACTTATTAAAATAATCTGGCACAAGAGATTAGTAGTAACAAACAACCCTAAAGGGAACAGTATGAAAGATCAGTAAATACCATTAACTCACAGTAAACTGGTATTGGAGATATAAGCCATTTGGATGGTAAGAACGACAAATATAACAAAGTTAGCACAACTTCACGTACCTTGAAATGTCATTTTGATAAAATTTTTAAAAGGTTCCAACATATGCTCACTCTTGCCCTTAACCTTCAGGATGTAAATATTGCCAAACTTGTTCTTGAGATGCTGAGGGCTGCCCAAGCACATGAACTTCCCCTTCACCATGATGGCTAGCCTGGTACAGAGGGCATCACATTCTTCCATACTTGCAAAACAGGAGAACAAAGCAATGTAAGGCTACAAAATTTCTGTGTTGGAGGACATGGTGTAGTTTAATCAGAGCTAGAGCTTTGTGATTGTCCCTTCAATCAGAAGTTGTATTTGCCAGTCACAAAACTCACAGTTGGGAAGTGGATGTTCAATGGTGAATAATAGAGTATTCAATCCTCAAATGGAACACTTCTTGAACTTACTGTCTTTTCCCCACTCTTCATTTTTAAAAACTCATTGAGGGCTGGCGCCGTGGCTCAATAGGCTAATCCTCTGCCTGCGGCACCAGTACACCGGGTTCTAGTCCCTGTCGGGGCGCCGGATTCTGTCCCGGTTGCCCCTCTTCCAGGCCAGCTCTCTGCTGTGGCCAGGGAGTGCAGTGGAGGATGGCCCAAGCGCTTGGGCCCTGCACCCCATGGGAGACCAGGAGACGCACCTGGCTCCTGCCTTCGGATCAGCGCGATGCGCTGGCCACAGCGCACCAGCCGTGGTGGCCATTGGAGGGTGAACCAATGGCAAAAGACCTTTCTCTCTCTATCTCTCTCACTGTCCACTCTGCCTGTCAAAAAAAAAAAAAAACTCATTGAGGATTCTTGGCTGCTCTACTCATTATGGTTAGCAAGAATCATAATTCCTAATGAAGAGCTCACATATTCAGGAAAATTCACTGTCTAATATTCTTGGTCTCAAATAATTCCCTCTTACAGCCACTATAGCTCCTACCAACCCCAAACCATGCCTCTCAATGAGTCACACCTGTGGGAGGTGATAACAATAGCTTTTCCACTGTCACGGGTCTTGGTCACCACATTCCAGAGCAGGCGTCGGGCCACTGGGTCCATGCCTGTTGATGGCTCATCCAGGAAGACAACTGAGGACCTTCCCATTAGAGCAATAGCAGTACTCAGCCTACGTTTGTTTCCTCCACTTCATGGCCAAAGGAAAAGAGAAAGTGAGAGAAGATGAGGCTGTATATATGTATCAGTTATTTAAAACAAACAGCGCAAATAACTTAAATGCTGAGAATCCCAGCAAACAATCTGTACATCTGCAATGCTGTTTAGATATAATTTTAACAAGGTAGCAGAGCAAAGTACCTACTTGTATATATACCTGCATGCATGTGTGTGCATGTACACACACACAATTTATTTTGAGGTATAGAGGAGTGACTTTATGTGTCTGATTTTGACAGCATTATCAGAGGCTTACTTTTTTTGGTGTCATGGCTTCTCAGGTACATAAGCCCCACCATAATTTAAAGGGCCTACATTCCTCTTTATTTGGGAGAAAAAAGAACCATAGAATTACCAGATAGAAAGATGCTCCCTTTGATGTTCATAGGCTAAAATTCAAATGGAAATGGAATTTTGAGTTTCATCTCAACAAAGGGAAGGTATACTGAACTACATTTATCTGTTTATTACTAGAATCTTAAAACTAGAAAACTCTTAGATAGTTTCATATTTAGGGAATTGTGTGAGAGAAAAGCCTAGGTAGAGTTGTGGGTATTCATTTCAAACATTAAAAATGTAAGGAAATACCTCAACATTAACAAAAAAAAATAGCAGCAAGCATAATGACTCACCTATAGGTGCTAATAATCTTGTTAGCATGAGGCTCCAGTTCCATTGAGTTCAAATATGAGTTCACATACAGCTGAATCTGAGACTCAGAGACTCCCCAAACTCTGGCATACATTATCAGTATTTCTCGAGCAGTCATGTATTCCAGCAAGGCATCAAATTGAGGACAATAGCCAATTCTCGACCTCACCTAATTCCAAGAATTGCCTTATGTAAAGACCCAAGTCATCCATCCCACTGACCATCTACAGTTGGATGGAGGAACCCACAGCCAGCCTTTTAGGTCAGGGTTCCAAGAGTCCTACTGAGAAATTTTCTTTTCTGAATGGCTACAAAACTATGACTGTTGAACCTTACTACATTGGAATAAAAAGTTACCTAATTCTGTTTTAACAATCTTAGGAACGAAGAAGTGAGAAACAAAATCCCAGAACTCATTCAATTTGGCAGAGTATTAGGGAGCACAGCCATCATGGAGGTTTTTGCATTGTTTAACCTGCACAGTCATGTATATACCTTATTTCACAGAAAGACTGAACCAGAAGCAGAGCTTCCCCAAACTTCATATCCTATCCTCAAAACAGGAGACCACAATGAGTGTTGTGTTAGTAATTAGCCAAACTTGTCTACTGATTTACATTCAGGCACACATAGCTTTGGTAGCTGCAGATAAAGCCATGAAATTAAACTAATATTAACACTGATTCCCAGATTACTCATGCTCATAGACTTGGAATGTTGCAAGCCTCTCTGCATGAGGCTGACATGACTTAAAGGATTCAGAGGGCTACCATTTTTCCCACACTTTCCTTTTTTTTTCCCTCTGTTAGGATCCAGACATTGGAGACTTGAACAATAAAAAACAACTACATATACAAAGAAAATTGGAAAGTGACTGTACTTTCTCAAGGAAAGGTGCACAATCAGAAAAGACCTGAGAAAACCTTAAGTTCACAGCTCAGGTTTATCTAAGTAAAAAACAGCCTACAACACCAACAACCCAAAATTCCAAACACTATAAATAAAAAACAGCAAATAAGGAGAATGGAAAGAATATGATTCCCAGTGTTACTATATTATCAATGAAAATTTATAAGAAACAGAAAAATATGGCCCACCCAAGAGAAAATAACACAGAAACTTTCCCTAAGACCTGACAGAAGATCTATTAGAGAAACACTTTAAAAACAACTGTTTAAAGAGGAAGATGTGAACAAAGCAAAGATAGTGATGTACAAACATAATGGGAAAATCATTAGAGATGGAAAACCTAAAAGGAAATAAAACAGTCTATAGCTTAGAAATACAATAACAAATAGATTCACCATAGAGACTTACAGGTAGCAAAGAGAATCAGTGAATTTGAATATAGGACAATGGAAATTGTTGAGTTTGAGGAACAGAAAGAAAAAAAGAGGTAGGAAAAGTGAACAAAACCTAAGGGGCCCTTGGGATATCATCTAGTGGACCGACATATCCATTGTGGTTATTCAAGAAGAAAGGGGGAGAGAGAATATTTGGGGAAATAATGGCAGAAAACTCACCCCGCCCCAAAAGTGAGTATAAACATCCAAGCTCAATAAACTTCAAGATGAACTCAGAGACCCAGAGCAAGGCATGTTATAATCAAACTGTCAAAAGACAAAGACCAGGAGAGACTATTAGAATTAGCAAGAGAGAAGCAACTCATCACATGAAAGGGAGCCTCAGGTGACAAAGCAGTTAAGGCACTTTGTGTTTTCTTGATCTGTACAAAGAAAGTTGATATATCCTACAAGCAATAAACACTTATGCTAACAAACAACAGGGGCAGGTGTTTGGTGCAGTGGTTAAGTTGCCATTTGAACACCTGCATCCCGTATCTGAATTCCTAGGTTCAAGGACTGGCTCCACTTCTGCTTCTAGCTTCCTGCAAATGTGTACCCTAGGAGACAGCAGTGATGGCTGCTGTCCCACACAAAGAGACCTGGGATTGAGCATCTCACTCCTGGTTTTGGCCTGGACAAGTCCAAACTATTGAGGGCATTTGGGGAGAGAACCAGCAGATGGACAATCTATCTCTGTCTCTGTCTCTGTCTCTTTTCCTTTCAAATATATAAATAAAAATTTTAAGAAAACAAGAGGCCGGCGCCGCAGCTCACTAGGCTAATCCTCTGCCTTGCAGTGCTGGCACACCAGGTTCTAGTCCGGGTTGGGGCGCCGGATTCCGTCCCGGTTGCCCCTCTTCCAGGCCAGCTCTCTGCTGTGGCCCAGGAGTGCAGTGGAGGATGGCCCAAGTGCTTGGGCCCTGCACCCCATGGGAGACCAGGAGAAGTACCTGGCTCCTGCCATCGGATCAGCGTGGCAGCGCACCGGCCGTGGCGGCCATTGGAGGTTGAACCAACAGCAAAGGAAGACCTTTCTCTCTGTCTCTCTCTCTCTCACTGTCCACTCTGCCTGTCAAAAAATAAAAAAAAATGAGTATGGAAACCACTTGTACAACTTGTGAAATTTTGTCAAGGTTCCATTGATTCTGGAACCATGAAAAAGTGCTAAGTGAGCACAGATTTGAAATAGTTGGTCTACTGAAATGAGGTCATTTACTTAGTGGCCTCATATCCATGATCAAGAAACATTTTCTCCTATCTTCCTCAAATAAGATGGTGATGAAACCCAGACATATCTTGTGTTTTGACTATATTTTATTGCTATAGCAATAATCATTTTTTTCTTCAAGCATAGAAAAACAATGCAATAGCAATAGCAACAAAAAAGAAAGAATCCTAGCAAATCATAACTATGATCCAGTGTTACATCCCTGAAGATTCACTCAGTTAACCTGCTTGGAGCGTGACTTCTATTTGGAAAAGATAATTGATTATGACATAAAGTTAAACCTTATAGATAGATTCTGGAAAGATTGTGGTAGTTGGTGGCCCCTTCTCATGTAATCAAAGTCAGTCTATGGACTATTATTCCAGAGAAGAATCTCTAAATTCATCCTATTTTCCTCCTCTTGATTTCTCTTTTTCTAATTCTCCCTTGTTTTCTTCATCTAGTCCATTTATTTTATATAAAGTATAGGGAAAGTGTGTTTTGTATATTCATCTATTTTTACTTTAAAAAGTCTGTTGAATATCTATATGCTGACAATGAATAACCTGAAAAGAAAATTAAGAAAACAGTTTAATTTACAATAGCACCAAAAAGAATAACATGCATAGGAATAAACTATCTAAGGAGTTAAAAGTTTTGTACACTGAAAACTTCAAAACATTGATAAAAGAAAGTAAAGAAGATATAACTAAATGGAAAGACATAATATTATTAAGATGTCAAGTCTACCAGAAAAGGTTTACAGATTCAGTGAAATCTCTCTTAAAATCTTAATATTTTTTGTAGTAATAAAAATATTTATCCTAAAATTCACTTGGAATCGTCAGGAACCCGAAATTACCAAAGTAATCTTGCAGGTGAAATATCAGAATCCACTGACTGCATCAACAGTATCAATAATAATACTTACAATGATTCCTATCTATTATCCTAGGCCATCAGTATTATCTGCATTCATGAGTCATTATGGTTCTCCAATTTTTATAAAGATTTTATTTGGGAGATAGAGTTACAGAGAGAGAGAGAGAGAGGAAGAGAGAGAGAGAGAGAGAGAGAGAGAGAGAGAGAGAGAGAATCTTTCCATTCACTGGTTCACTCCCCAAATGGCTGCAACAGCCAGAGCTGAGCTGATCCAAAGCCAGGAGCCAGGAGCTGCTTCTGCATCTCCCATGTGGGTGCAGGTGCCCAAGAACTTGGACCATCTTCCACTGCTTTTCCAGGCCATGGCAGAGAGCTGGATTGGAACAGGAGCAGCTGAGACATGAACCATGCAACCATATGGGATGCTGGCACCGCAGGCAGAGGTTTAACCCACTATGCCACAGTGCCAGCCCCTGCTTCTCCAATTTTATACTCTAATAGTATCTCACCTGTAGGACATTTCTGTTGATGCTAAAGCCATCAATGAACACATCCCCTGAGGTAGCACTCTCTTCTCCAGTCAAAATTTGGAAGGTACTTGTTTTTCCAGCTCCATTGAATCCAAGCAATCCAAAGCATTCTTTCTTTTGTATTGCAAGGGAGATATTTTTCACAGCCAGAATAACTGGATACTTAAAATATATCTAAAAAAAATCCATAAAAGACAACTCATCGAAGAATGCTTCTAGGTCAAATACAATAGATAACCTCAGTCCCCTATGGACCACTGCCTTAGACAGTTTCACAAGAATAGTTCTATTCAATTGGGGGAATACAGATTGTAAAGAAAATATATATGCCTATTTATCTATATAGATAGATAAGGAGGTTGATCAACAAGCACCAAAGGCATGCTCTTAAGTAGGGATGAAGCCAGCATATGTTGGCTATTGAATGATAATACCTTTGTGAGTTCCTTAATAAGAACTACAGAATTCTGAAACTTCTCAGGATGCTGCAGTATGTTAATTCTCTCATTTTGTACATCTTCATCTTCGGATTTTCCAGAAAGTTTCTTGGACACCTGCTCCTGTATTTTCAAGACAAGAATCATGAGGTGGAGACCATTTAGGCACATACTCAAGACTGACTGTCTTTGTGAAAGCTAAATTGAGGGATAATGTTAAAGGTATAAAAACAAAAGGCTTGAGCAATTTCCAAGAGACTTTCTGCACATCAACTCCACTCTCCCATACAACTTAACTAAGTTTTAGTAATAAATAGTTCTTTGGGGAAATGTGGCTGTGGGCCAGAAGATTGGCAAAAGATATTCACACAGTAGAGAAAGCATGAGTTAACATGCTACCATGTATAATTTAAATTTCTGAAGGACAGAATTTAAAGCCAGAGAAATTATTTTATAACCTGGATCCTCATCTCAAAGAAGTAGAGAAGCTTTAAAGAATATAGTAATGACAATGTAGTAATAACTTCTGCTCAAATTAAAAGGGAATGGGAGCTAAGATAATCAGCAAGGCTAAATCAACTTTTCCTAAGAAACTCACTGGGACCCATTACATATATTTTCAATATAATGGTACAGATATGAATACTGTTTTTTTTTGTCTTCACTATACAAAGAAGCTTCAGAATAAAGCTGTGTCCTGCACAATGTCCTGAATGCAGATACTATATACCATCAGGTTCTAGTCTCACATTGTCTCCCAGTCGCTTTCCCTTGAAGATTCTTTGTCCTGCTTTTCTGAATATGTATCCACCTCTTACTAAACTTAGCTCACTGAATGGAGGAAGTAGTGCAGCTGGCCCTAAAAAAAAATCCCTAATTGCCATGACTGATGAGATCATTTATTTCCTCTATAGTTCACATCTTGAGGTTGTTCTTTTCTTTTTTTTTTTTTTTTCGACAGGCAGAGTGCACAGTGAGAGAGACAGACAGAGAGAAAGGTCTTCCTTTTGCCGTTGGTTCACTCTCCAATGGCCGCTGTGGCCGGCGCGCTGCAGCCGGCGCACCGCGCTGATCCGATGGCAGGAGCCAGGTGCTTATTCTGGTCTCCCATGGGGTGCAGGGCCCAAGGACTTGGGCCATCCTCCACTGCACTCCCGGGCCACAGCAGAGAGCTGGACAGGAAGAGGGGCAACTGGGACTAGAACCCAGTGTGCCGGCGCTGCAAGGCGAAGGATTAGCCTATTGAGCCGCAGCGCCGGCCTGTTCTTTTCTTGAAGTGTTTCTTTTCCAGATGCTCCAGTGCCTGTGCCAAAAGTAATTACCACATGCATGTAGCCTCTAGACTGACTGGAGCTTTATCTTCACAAAAATTCCATATAGAATGCAGAATCACTGACCAATCATAGGAGGGCCATAAGCACTACAGACCAACCAGGAATGTACCCCTCAGTCCCAGCTTCAATCTGTAAGATTGTTTATCTCTGGCCCCTTGAGGAGCCCAGAAATTAAGTAATAACTGGGTTAAGACTCCTTGCTCTATGCTTTGCAATAAACATCTTTCTTCCACCACCCCAGTGTCAGCAATTGACTTTCTGCATATTGGGAGAGTGATACTGATCAGTTTTGAGGCAGTTCTATATCAAGAACATGGGTCTTAAGATGTTAGAACAGAAGTTTGGCATAATTTTGAAGATAATTTTGCCCAGTCCTTTTAGAACACATTGGTTTTTTTTTTTAACTTTTATTTAATGAATATAAATTTCCAAAGTACAATTTATGGATTACAATGGCTTCCCCCCCATATCGTCCCTCCCACCCACAACCCTCCCCTTTCCCACTCCCTCTCCCCTTCCATTCACATCAAGATTCATTTTCGATTATCTTAATATACAGAAGATCAGCTTAGTATACATTAAGTAAGGATTTCAGCAGTTTGCTCCCACACAGAAACATAAAGTGAAAAATAATAGATGATTTTTTTAAATGATGATGAAATCAGATCAGACCTATTGTCATGTTTATCCCAGTGAGAGTCAAGTTGGGAGTTGATAATTTCTTTTTTTTTTTTTTTTTTACAGAGGATCAGTTTAGTATACATTAAGTAAAGATTTCAACAGTTTGCACCCCCATAGAAACACAAAGTGAAATATATTGTTTGAGTACTCGTTATAGCATTAAATCTCAATGCACAGCACATTAAGGACAGTGATCCTACATGAGGAGTAAGTGCACAGTGACTCCTGTTGTTGACTTTACCAATTGACACTCCTGTCTATGGCATCAGTAATCTCCCTATGCACCAGTCATGAGTTTCCAAGGCTATGGAAGCCCTCTGAGTTCTCCGATTCTTATCTTGTTTAGACAAGGTCATAGTCAAAGTGGAGGTTCTCTCCTCCCTTCAGAGAAAGGTACCTCCTTCTTTGAAGACCTGTTCTTTCCACTGGGATCTCACTCACAGAGATCTTTTGCCAGCGTGTCTTGGCTTTCCATGCCTGAAATACTCTCATGGGCTTTTCAGCCAGATCCGAATGCCTTTAGGGCTGATTCTGAGGCCAGAGTGCTATTTAGGACATCTGCCATTCTATGAGTCTGCTGAGTATCTCACTTCCCATGTTGGATCACTCTCCCCCTTATTTTTTCTATCGGTTAGTGTTAGCAGGTACTAGACTTGTTTATGTGATCCCTTTGACTCTTAGTCCTTTCATTATGATCAATTGTGAACTGAAATTGATCACTTGGACTAGTGAGATGGCATTGGTACATGCCACCTTGATGGGATTGAATTGGAATCCCCTGGTATGTTTCTAACTCTACCATTTGGGGCAAGTCAGCTTGAGCATGTCCCAAATTATACATCTCTTCCCTCTCTTATTCCCACTCTTATGTTTAACAAGGATCACATTTCAGTTAATTTTCAACACTTAAGAATAACTGTGTGATAATTACAGAATTAAACCAGTCATATTAAGTAGAACAGACAAAAAAACTACTAAGAGGGATAATGTATTAAGTTGTTCATTAACAGTCAGGGCTATGTTGATCAAGTCACCATTTCCCATAGTGTCCATTTAGAACACATTGGTTTTCACTTTCAACAGTTTAAGAAATTAGGATTAGGGGCCGGTGCCGTGGCTCACTTGGTTAATCCTCTGCCTGCAGTGCCAGCATCCCATATGGGCGCCGGGTTCTAGTCCCGGCTGCTCTTCTTCCAGTCCAGCTCTCTGCTGTGGCCCGGGAGAGCAGTGGAGGATGGCCCAAGTGCTTGGGCCCCTGCACCCGCGTGGGAGACCAGGAGGAAGCACCTGGCTCCTGGCTTTGGATCAGCATAGGTCCGGCTGTAGCGGCCATTTGGGGAGTGAACCAGAGGAAGGAAGACCTTTCTCTCTGTCTCTCTCTCACACTGTCTAACTCTGCCTGTCTAATAAAAAAAAAGAAGAGAAATTAGGATTAGACTATTGTGTTTTTCCCCAAAATAAGACACCTCATGAAACACTGAAGTCACAACAGAGATCAAATGTGATTTGTTACAATCATGTTAAACATTCTGAGAGACTAAAGGATTAACTCTTTATGAGAGAGTGAGAATGTAAGTAAGACAACATGTAAAAAATTTTGAGACTTCCGGAATGCAATGTGAGAGATCTGCAAACCTGTGCCCCAGTACAATTGGTGAACATTATTTTAAAACATAACCCAGGCCATACAATGAATGAATAAACATTTATTCAAGAAAATCTATTAAACTTGAATAGTGAAATCCTGTGGCATACAAATCATGACCAGCAGCTCACTTTCTCCTGCCCCCCAACCACTGTGACAGAATTTCACTGCAGGCAGGTGCATTCAAGGACCCAGGGCTCCCTTTTCCTTCAGCCTTCCAATCAAGGGCTGAGCTATCTTTCTTGAAGGGGCGGAATGCCAGCATTTCTCATCCCATTGCCCGGCTACCTGTTCCAAAGGCTATGTTTTAAGTGAGTGTAGCTGAGATTTTGGGTCTTCCTTCTTACATGAGGGGCCATTCATGTGGTCTAGTGTGCTGTGCTATACTATATTTCTTCCTAAGGTCATAGCCCTTTCCTAGGTGTCAGGTGCAGCCAATGACTAGTTGATGCCGGGATACAAAGTCTGGTGACCTTATTTTGATTTAAGACCACTATGAAAGGCCATCATTCTTCAGAGCTGTCAGTAACATGGATCAAGGCTTCAGCTGCAACCAAACTTCAGAACTTTGATTTCACTATTCACTACACTCTGACTCATTCATAGGGCATAGGTTTCATGCTGGCAAGGTACATCAAGAAGACCAGAGACTAATATCCTCCACTGAGTACCCAGATCTTGAAGCAGAGAGGCATACCACTGTTCCAGCTCTGAACCGAGTTCAGAGATTTTTGCCTTCGGGGAGAGTTGGGCTGTTAAGCAGTTGATCTCCTTTGCTCTCTCCAATGTTATTCACTTCATATGAAAGAGAGTATGAAGATTTTAAACATTAAAGTTGCTCTAAAATAGCAATGGAGATTTTGGTGGAAAGCAATTAAGAACGAACTAATTGCTTCACTAGAGATACGAATTAGCACATAGGCTAATTTACCAAAAAGACCTAGGGGAAAATATAGCTATGAAGAGGTCCCCTAGGTAACAATGAACCTTAAATCCAGATCTCAAACTATTTCTATGACTCTCAGAGGAACAGCATCAGAGGTTTCATACTGCAAAGAAAATAGACTTCACTGAAAGCAGCCCAGCCTGTCAGGAAACAATTAACTAGAAAAATACAAATCTTTGGTGGAAGGGCAGGACCAACAGTCACTAAAATTTATTGTACATAAAAATTATAGTTCATTATTTCAGACTAAGCTCTTGCACAGACTTAACAGACTGAAGAACAGAGGGGAAAACCAAATGAAGAAAATGATCAAAATCTCAAGGAAAGATGGGATACCCTCTAGTACATCAGTATTTGCATAATGAAAATGTCAAATAGAAAGGTGAGAGAGGAGTAAAAAAATATCCAGATAAATAATGGCTGCAAATTTCCTAAATATGAGGGAAAACATTAATCTACATACCCAGAGAGCTTAGTGAACAAGTATGATAAACATAAAAATATCCATAGCATCATATTAGTAAAAATGCTGAAACCAAACGACAAAGAGAAAATACTGATCAGGAAAACCCTTATTTTTTTTCCCCAAAGAAACCTTTTGTGTAAGGAATACAAACTTCATCTATTTCATAAGGAAAACTTTAGGAATATAGTGATTCTTCCCATCATACCTGTCCTACCCACACTCTTACCCCTCTGCCACTTCCCTCTCCTATTCCCAGTCCTATTCTCCACTAAGATCCATTTTCTATTAACTTTATACAAAGAAGACCAACTCTATACTAAGTAGAGTTCAACAATTTGCACACAAAAAAATGTTTCTCAACAGTGGAGACAAGGGCTTTTCAAAGTCATTGCATCTTGAAGTTAATTTCACTTTTTTTTTTAGAAACTTAACTAACTTTAAAGAAGCACCCAAGAATGATACATCTTTTGCCAGCACTTAGACATACTAATACAACTCCTTGAGGACAGAGGTCCTGCATGAGGAGTTAGTGCACAGTGACTCCTGTTGTTAATTTAACAATTAACACTCTTATGTATGGCGTCAGTGATCACCTGAGGCTTTTCACATGAGCTGCCTTGGCTGTGGAAGGCTTTTGAATCCACAAACTCCGTCAGTATTTAGACAAGTCATAAGCCAAGTGGAAGTTCTCTGCTCCCTTCAAAGAAAAGTACATCCTTCTTTGATGACCACTTCTTTCCACTGGGGTCTTACCCACCGAGGTCCTTAATGTAGGACATTTTTTGTCACAGTGTCTTGGCTTTTTATGTCTGAAATGCCAGACCAGTAAGCCTTAAGGGCTGATTCTGAGGTCAGAGGAAAACACTTATTATTTTTTTTTTTTTTGACAGGAAGGTGGACAGTGAGAGAGAGACACAGAGAGAACTTATTAACAGGAGAACCCCAATAGGGTTAACAATTGATTTCATTAAGGGAGGAGAGAACTTCCACTTTGACTATGACCTTGTTTAAATATGATCAGAATCGGTGAACTCAAAAGGCTTCCATAGCCTTGGAAACTCATGACAAGAGCCTAGGGTGATTACTGATGCCATAAACAAGAGTGTCAATCTGTTAAGTCAACAACAGGAGTCACTGTGCACTTACTCCTCATGTAGGATCTCTGTCCTTAATGTGCTGTACATTGTGATTTAATGCTATAACTAGTACTCAAACAGTATTTTTCACTTTGTGTTTCTATGTGGGTGCAAACTGTTGAAATCTTTACTTAATATATGCTAAACTGATCTTCTGTATATAAAGAGAATTGAAAATGAATCTTGATGTGAATGGAAGGGGAGAGAGAGCGGGAAAGGGGAGGGTTGCAGGTGGGAGGGAAGTTATGGGGGGAGGCATTGTAATCCATAAGCTGTACTTTGGAAATTTATATTCATTAAATAAAAGTTACAAAAAGAAAAAATAGAAATAAAAAATTGATTTCATTAAAAAAGATGTATTTATTTAAAGTGCAGAGTGACACACAGAGAGGGAGGTACAGAGAAAGAAATCTTCCATCTGATGGTTCACTCCTTAATTGGCTATGATGGTCAGAGATGGACCAGTCTAAAGCCAGGAAACAAGTACTACTTCCTGGTCTTGCACATAGATGGCAGGGACCCAGGTACTTAGACCATCATCTTCTGCCTTCCCACATGCATTGGCAGGGAACTTGATTGGAAGCAGAGCATCCAGGACTCACAAGTGCTCAGACATGGGATGCTGACTTTACAGGTGGTGGTCTAGCCCTCTGTTCCTCAGTGCTGGCCCCAATAATTGACTTCTTGTGAGAAAAAAATTACATTGAAAAAACACATTAGAAGCTCAAGTCAGCATGTGAAAGTTTAGTCTAATGGTTAAGATGCCCACATTATCACACAACAGAGTGCCTGGGTTCAATTCTTGGTTCTGGCTTCTGACTCCAGTTTCCCAACTGTGTAGCCCCTGGGAAGCAGTGGTTTTGACTGAAGGAGTCTGGTTCTTAACCACCCACATGAGAGACCTGGATTGAATTCTCACCTCTTGGCTTTGGCCCCTGCTCAGCCCTGGCTCTTGTGGGCATTCAGCTGTTATGGGCATTGGGGAGTGAACCAGCGGATGCGAGCTCCGTGTCTTTGCCTCTTTGGGTAAATGTCCAAAGAAAATGAAATCATCATATTGTAAAGGTATCTGCACTCCAATGTTTATTGTGGCATTATTCACAATAGCTAGGATATAGAATCAATCTAAGAGTTCAAAGATAAATGGATTAAGAAAATGTGGTACAGGGCTAATGTTATGGCATAGCTCCACTTTTGATCCAGCTCCCTGCTAATGGCCTGGAAAAATCAGTGGAAGATGGTCCAAGTGTTTGGGCCCCTGCTACCCATGTGGAAACCCCGGATAAAATTCTTGGCTCCTAACTTTGGCCTGGCCCAATGCTAACCATTGTGGCCATCTGTGGAGTGAACCAGTGGATAGAAGATCTCTCTCTCTTCCAAAATAAATAAATAAATTTTTAAAAAGAAGAAAATGTGGTATATGTACACAGTGTAATGCTATCAGGATTAATAAAGAGGGGCATACTCTAATTTGTGACGGCATGGATAAATATCACGGAGTACATTATGTTAAGTAAAGTAAGTCAAGCACAGAAAGACAAATACCACAAGATCTTGCTTATATGTGGAATTCTACAAGTTAAACTCATAGAAGTAGAAGATAGAATGGAAGTTATCAGAAGCTTGCACATAATGGTGACTATAACAACACATTGTATATTTAAAAAATAGCTAAAAGAGAAAAAAATAAAAATAGCTAAAAGATATTTTAAATATTTTCACCACAAAAATCCTAAGAATGTGAGGTAATAGATTTGTGAAACAACTTGATCTACTCATTCCAAATGTAAGCATATATCAAAACATCACATTGTATACCATGAATACATACAATAATTATTTGTCAGTTAAAAATACAACTTTTTAAAGCAAAGAATATTTTTTTTTGCCCAGGCAGAGTTAGACAATGTGTGAGAGAGAGACACAGAGAGAGAGAGTTATAGACAGTGAGAGAGACAGAGAGAAAGGTCTTCCTTTCCTTTGGTTCACTCCCCAAGTGGCTACCACAGCCGGCGCGCTGCGCCGATCTGAAACCAGGAGCAAGGTGCTTCCTCCTGGTCTCACATGAGGGTGCAGGGCCCAAGCACTTGGGCCATCCTCCACTGCCTTCCCGGGCCACAGCAGAGAGCTGGACTGGAAGAGGAGCAACCAGGACAGAATCCGGCACCCCGACCGGGACTAGAACCTGCATGCCTGTGCCTCAGGCGGAGGATTAGTCTAGTGAGCCGCAGTGCCAGCAGGAAAGAATATTCTTTTTTTTTTTTTTTTTTTTGACAGAGTGGACAGTGAGAGAGAGAGACAGAGAGAAAGGTCTTCCTTTGCCGTTGGTTCACCCTCTAATGGCCACCGCGGCTGACATGCTGCGGCCAGCGCACCACACTGATCTGAAGGCAGGGGCCAGGTGCTTATCCTGGTCTCCCATGGGGTGCAGGGCCCAAGCACTTGGGCCATCCTCCACTGCACTCCCTGGTCACAGCAGAGAGCTGGACTGGAAGAGGGGCAACCGGGACAGAATTCGGCGCCCCTACCAGGACTGGAACCTGGTGTGCCGGTGCCGCAAGGCGAGAATATTCTTAATGTAGGAGATTTGCAATATTGTTCTACAATAAAAGATAAGTATGTGACCCAGTGGATATAGTAATAAGCTGGATTCAGTCATTCTAGTGGATGAATATATATATATATATATAGTGGAATGACTGAATCCATGTTTTCATATATATATTCATATATATTCATATATAATATATTCATATATAATAACATATATTATATTCATATATGAATATATTATATATGAATATATATGAATATATATAATATATTCATATATAATAACATATATTATATTCATATGTGAATATATAATATACATTATATTATGATCATATATATTATATATGAATTTACATGAATTATATGAATATATAATATATGAATAATTATATATATTCATATATTATATTCATATATATATGAAAACATCATGTTGAACACTACAAATATATACAATTTTGTCAAAAACAATAATAAAATCAAAAGTTTAGGTTATGGCTAGTGCAGTGTTCATAGAGAATGCTTAACTTTAAAAGTTTGTATTAGAAGAGACTTAAAAGCCATGGTTTAAAAATGCTTATTAAGGAACCAAGAAAGAAAGAAAGAAATTAAGAAAGAAATATAAATCAAAAGTAAGTAGAAGGAAATTATAAAGACAAAAAAACATTAATGAAAGTGAAAATAGCAGTAGAGAAAATTCAGTCTTTTGAGATGATCAACAAAATCAACATAGTTTATTATAGGTACCTCAACAAAATTTATTTACATTAATTTAATTAATTTAGATTTAAAAATTTTCTGTAGATATAGACTTTTATTCAATAACTGAGGTAGTCATATATAGATACATGTTTTTCAGGCCTAATCTGCAATTCTCTTGGCATTGTTTTTAAGCTGTTCCATACTTAAGTACTCACCTTCTTGAATTTCTTATAGATTCTAAAGAAAACTTGTTGATTGAGAAATGTTCTTACTCTCCAAAAAGTACTCTCCCAAAGTAAAATGAAGAGAAGGAAAAGAAAGCCTGCAATACCCATGATAATAAAATACTTTCCAAGCATACCCTTTTCCAAAGAGTAAATAGTCTTCTTAGTATCTGGAAAGACAGAGAAAGAGAAGGAAGGAGAGAAGACAAGAGAACTAATGTTACTGTCCAACACTGACACCGGAGATTTCCAGATACCCTTGCACTTAGTCTCCATTATTAGTAACCACATACATTAACATGCTAAACAACAGAATTAAGTGGCAATATTAACTAAAGTACCTCATTTGTTAATATTTCCTAATTTTTTTTGACAGGCAGAGTTAGGCAGTGAGAGAAAGAGACAGAGAGAAAGGTCTTCCTTTCCGTTGGTTCACCCCCCAAATGGCCTCTACGGCCGGCACACTGTGCCGATCCGAAGCCAGGAGCCAGGTGCTTCCTCCTGGTCTCCCATGAGGGTGCAGGGCCCAAGGACCTGGGCCATCCTCCACTGCCTTCCCGGGCCACAGCAGAGAGCTAGACTAGAAGAGGAGCAACTGGGACACAACCAGCGCCCCAACCGGGACTATAACCCAGAGTGCCAGCGCCTCAGGTGGAGGATTAGCCTAGTGAGCCATGGCGCCGGCCAATATTTCCTAATTTTTAAAATATAATATTGTGTCTGTTCCATGAGCTAATCATAGATACATTATACTTAGCAATTGTGTCATTTTTTAGTTCCTTTTGGACATGACAATTTGTCATATTTTTTCTTGTTTTAAAGCCATTGAAATTTTTGAGAACTAGTATTTTGTAGAATACAAATTAGGAGATCTTCAAATGGAATCTCTCTAAGTTTGTTTATATTATGTTTCATGATTCAACTGGGATTATGGGCTTTTTAGAGGAAGACCACACAGGCAAAGTGCTATTTTTATCATATAAAAGAAAAAAATTATTGAATTATCATTGTTGATACTGACCTTGATCCACTTGGTTAAAGTAGTGTTTGTTAGTTTAATCTGCTGTATATTTCTTCCTCCTTCTCCCCTCTTTATAATGTGAATTATAAATATCAAGATCAAGTAAATACATTTGAACACCATTTAAATATCAAAATAAATATCAGAATTCCTTTGACATTTGTATCAAAATACTCTCACAGATTCTTTTTCAACTTTGAGTTGTAATCCAATACTATTTATCTTTTGCTCAGATTGTGCCAGTTTTGGCCATAAATCTGTACCATTTTTATGAATCATATGTTGTATTTATAGTTCATATATAAAAATACAATTAAATTTTGTGTTCATATTTTATTCAGCAACCACATTAAATTATTATAAAATTTAAAAATTTATTAGGATATTCTTTGGATTTCTGGGTAGACCATCATACCTAGTATTTTTTTCATTTCTCATACTTTATAACTGCTATCATATCAAAGATTATGTCATACATACATATAAATTTTAACATAATATCATGATACCCATCCCCAAATTAAAAGTTTGCAAATAACTTGCAAATACTTATGTGTGCCTCCAGTTTTCCATCCTCCAGAGGTGTTTGATAAATTGTGTTCTGCATTCCTGTTTTATTTACATACAAGTGGGTCATTATATGTACATTTAAATTAATAATATTTGAAATTTATAAAAATATTTCATTCTCTATGTTGTCTTCTAGAACCTGTTTTCTCTTTATGCTTTTCTAAAATTCTCAAACATAAAATGGAATTGAAATAATAGTACAATAAACACCATTTCCTCTACTTAGGATCAACATTGTTACTGTCTTGTCATATTTGCCCCCTAGTTTTGTGTGAATGTTGGCTACTTGTTTCTGTTAGGAATTACTTTAAATTTTCATGGGCTATCAAAAACAGTAAGACTGTCCAATGAGGATAATGGGTTTAGAATTTTACTTGGTTGCTTAGTTTACGAAAGCTATTTCTGTTGGTAGAGTGAAATAAATTTTCTATATAAATGTCATTTTGCTGTGGAGTGAGAGACAGATGGTGATGGTAGTGTGGGCAAAGTTTGTATTTTATAATTTATTAATTTATGTTTATTATTTTCTTCATTATAAATTTTGGATGGTTAATTTTATGATATCATAAAATGGACTCATTTATCTTTTTTTAAATGGCTCTTAGTCATGAAAAGAGATGACTAAGATTATCTCAGTGTGGTTTGGAGGATCAGTATACTGATCAGATTCTCTGAACTTCTAACATCTTGATTTAATGTTTCAGTACTTTAAAAAACTCTTGTTTTTGAAAAAGCAATATTTCTAAGAAAATAACAACTTGGAAGACAGAATTGTGCCTGGGGTGCTTGATCTTGTATAGAAAGAAAGAAAAATATAGCATAAGTTTAGGGTCCTACTGAGGCTATCAGATAATCAGAAAACAGCTAAAACTATAAATAAAAAAACCATAAGGATAAATGTGACTTTGGATCAAGCAATGGTTTCTTTGATATGACGCCTGAAGCATACAAGCAATTAAAGAAAGAACAGATAAATTAGGCTTCATCAAAACTGAAAACAATTGTGAACATAAGGACACTATCAACAAAGAGGAAAAACAGCCCATAGAAAGGGAGAAAATATTTGCATATCATACCTACAAGAACAGTCTAATATCCAGATTGGATAAAGACAAATCACCCAATTTAAAATGAGTACAGAGGGGCAGTAGTTGTGGTTCAGCAGATTAAACCACTACTTATGATGCCAGTATTCCATATCAGAGTGATGGTTTGAGTTTTCTGGCTCAACACCCTGCTAATATGCCTGGTAAAGCAGTGGTAGTGGGCCCATAGTGGGCTCCTGGCTTCAGCCTTGCCCAGTCAAAGCAGTTGTGGCCATGTGGGGAGATGGAAGATCTCTCTGTGTCTGTGTCTCTGTCATTTTGCCTTTCAAATACACACAAAAATAAATCTCAAAGTGAGTAAATAATTTGAATAGACATTTCTACAAAGAAGATAGACAAATGGACAACAGGCACATGAAATGATGTTCAGTATCACCAGACTAAAGTACTGCAAATCAAAACCATAATGGGATGCAACATCTACCAGTAATACTATAATAAAAAGAAATAGAAAATAACATGTGTTGGGGAGAATATGGAGAAATTGAAACCTTCACACATTGCTGTATAAAAATAGTCCCATCTCCCATGGGACTCAATCATAAGTACTCACATCACTAGATTTTACTTTATTTTTTTTTATTTGACAGAGTTACAGACACTGAGAGAGACAGAGAGAGAGAGAGAGAGAGAGAGAGAGAGGTCTTCCTTCTGTTGGTTCACTCCCCAAATGGCCGCTACGGACAGCGCTGTGCCAATCTGAAGCCAGGAGCCAGGTGCTTCCTCCTGGTCTCCCATGCGGGTGTACTTGGGCCATCCTCCACTGCCTTCCTGGGCCACAGCAGAGAGCTGGACTGGAAGAGGAGCAACCGGGACTAGAACCCAGTGCCCATGTGGGATGCCGGCACCGCAAGCGGAGGATTAACCAAGTAAGCCACGGTGTCGGCCCCACTAGATTTTACTTTAAATGTTTCTCTTTCATTTTTTTCCTACCTCAGCCTATCCCCTAAAGTTTACTGTCTGCACAATTTACATTTTCGAATACTGAGCTTCCCCCTGAGGTCACCAACTATTGTTTAGGTAGGACCAGACTTACTAATCACTCCTTTCCTTCCCACACTTTACACTCTCAGCACAAACAAGATATTTTCAAAATTATCTAATAAATGATAGTTTCATCATACAGATTTTAAAGCTAAAAATGCATGTTTACCCTTTCGTTTTTCACAAATAGTGTTCCTTTTTTTCTGTTACTTTCATTTGTGTTTCTTTTCTCATTGTACTGCTCTTTATCACCGGAATCACTACTTCCTGCCTTGACCTACTACTTATTAATTAAGAAGCACAGTTGAGTCCTTCAGTGTGCCAGATCCTTCATTAGACACTGGGGATGGATTTTATTTTCCCAAATAAGCCATAGGCAGGTGAGAGTGTGACTAATGTGGTGGTGGTCGTGTAACACAAGTGTTAATGCAATGACAATACAAATCCTTCCCCTGGAGGTTCTTTCTCATAGAGAGGATCTCATAAAAGCTGTTTGACACAGGGCATGTGACATGGGGTGCCTACTCAGTTTCCTCGAAATGACTATAAAAACACAATGAGATTGTTATGAAGATTAAAGTCGTCCACATAAGCTAGAGGTCAATAATCAGTAGCTCTTGTTCTAGCTTTGATGACTGCTATAAATTTACCTTGGGCTTGCTTTTGAGGCTTTATCATATTTAAAGAGGTTTTCCCCAGGCTTACCAAATAACTAATGTACTGAACATGAGTCCTAACTCCTTCCTTGGAAGGAAGGGCAAGTTGCTTGTATGTTTTGTGGTCTGCACTGGAAGCTAATTTCCTAGAGGCTCAGATATACTTACTTTCTTTACTACAATTAAGGTAGGCAGAGGGAGTCTTTAGAGCGTTGCACAGTATCTTCAAACTGTAGATATTAGTATATTCACTGAGGCACTTTGCAAGGTTGTAATTGGGAAACAACAGTAACAAATTGCGTAGAAACTGTTTGGTGCCATTCGATAAACTTCGCACTTAAGAAAGGATGATAGAATCGGGTTACTTTAGAGGGAATGAACTATCAACAACATATCCCCAGTAACAATCAAGTCAAACTCTGGGAATTAAAAACCAAATGATTATTTTTGAAGAACACTAATTACTTCCAATATATTTGTTTCAGTTTGTAGCTGGTGATGCAGTTTGTGCTTTAACTGTAAAATTCTCAAGTCTTTTTGGTGAGATAAGACCATCTAGATCTTTTTTCTTTGTGAAAAGGATTTTAATTATTATTTACTTGAATGCTTTGTGGTGTAATTCAAATTTTTATTATTTCATATTTAGTAAATTGCCTTTTTTTCTAGAAATGTTACAGTTTATTCAAAGTTTCACATTTGCTGGTTGATACTTGTCATATCTTCCTATATTTTAATAGTATATTAACCGTATGTGTGTATATGTAAATATATTTATAACCATATATACATGTATATACATGTATATCCATACATCTATCTCCTTCTTATTCCTAATATTTTCTTCTTTTCTCGATGGACTTGCCATTTTGTCAATTTGGTGAGTTTTTTTTATCTAACTATTATGGCCCTGTTGAAAATCTCTAAATTATCTATTAATCTTTGCTTTAATTTGTTCATTCCTTCTACTTTCTTTGATTTGTTTTTTTTCTAACTTTTAAATTCAGATGGTTTCTTAAGTTTTAGCCATTTTAATGTTAGCAGTTAAGGGTATAAAATTTCCTCCAAATAATTCTTTAGCTGTTGAGTATTTGTTACACTTCAGTTATAAATATTTTCTATTTTCTGTTATGACTCCCTCTTTGGCCTATTAATTATGTACAAGCATTTTAAAATTCCTAATTGTGTGTTCTTTTCCCAGTTATCTTTTTGTTACTGATTTTTAATTTAATTGCATAATGGTCAATGAAAGAATCCTTTTAGTAGTCTTCATTGTCAGTTTCTGAAAGATTCCATGTGTTTTGAGGGTTCTATATGGACTTATTAACTCTATAGGTTGATGTATATCATTTACTCATTTACCTCCCACGTTAACCATCAATTACAAGAGAGGCGTGCTAAGATCTCCTGTGATGTATATTTTACCTCTTATTTCAAATAACTGGTAATTTTGACTTTTATACACTTACAGATTATATAGCTAGGCAAATACAATTTTGGAATTCTTACAACTTCATGCTCAATTAATCTGCTATTATGTTGTGAACATGTTTTCCTCTAATGTTTTATTTTCTTTTTACATTAAAAAAATATATATCCATTACTCCTGTCAGTACAATCACTCCAGTTTTATTTACATGATATATCCTTCATCATTCTTTACTTTTTCATCTTCATTTTTTAATGGTACCTCCTGTAAGCAGCATAAAATGAAAATTTGAGGTTGAGAAGTCTTCTAGAATGGCACCTGTCACTTATCTAAAAAGCATGTTTGTTGCCATTTAATTTTATTATGACACATTTGAGTTAATTACTCTCATCCTATTACCTTACTATTTATTCTCATTTTTCTGTTTTATTTATCCCTTCCTCCTTCCTATTTTGAGTATAATTTAGTTTCAAATTCTACTTCTTTTGTATTGATCATCTATTGTGTTTTGAAAGTTATACTTTAAAAATATTCTTTCAGTGGTTATATTGGACATTTAAACATACAGATTTCTGTTTTCTCTCTGGCTGCCTCAAATATCTTCTCTTTTACTTTGGTGTTCTAGTTTCATGATGATTTGTCTAAGCAAGGATTTAAAAAGAAAAATTCAATGAACTTTCTGAAACTGGGAATTTCTCTTTGAACAATCCTGGAAATGCTCAATCACTTTCTTTTAAACACTATTTCTTTCCTTTTTATTATTATTTCTTTGTGGACATATATTGGACCTTCTCATTCCAGCCTCCTAAATTTTCCAGCTTCCTAAAATTTCCAAACTCAGATGCAAAATAGAATCCTTGCTATATGATGGCATTATAAGAGGAGATGGAGATAGAGAAGTAAGTCCTCTAACACTCAGGCTCAGTCCTATCATTTTAATATGAGAATCCTAGATCTGGCATGATACCTATCACTGGCAGGCACTCAACATAAGTATATTGAGTTCCATCAAGTACAGAATTTCCCCCAAACATAGAATCTAATTGCCTTCTAAAGATTTTAGATATCTGTAGGTCTATTACCATTTATTTGTTACTGCTATCTTCTTGGGAAGGAAGAAATTTTGTTTAGCCCTTATACTTACTGATATCTACCGAGTTGTCTATGAGGATGCAAATAGTGCCTGAAAAGTAGTTGAATAGGATCAGTTTGACATAGGCAGAAGTACTTCCAGAAAACAGGAAGCTCAACAGATACGTGAGGGGAATGGCAGACCAGCCAAATAGTGTGAAGATTAGCATTGTTTCCAGAATGTGATACTCCATGATGTAAATATTAAGTTTGTAGTATCTGAATACAATCTGAAACACAGAGGGCAAAGAGATAAAGGCAAGGTGAAGGACAAGTATAAAAAGAAACCACGTCAGAATATTTAGAGAAAGAGAGTAAATCTGGTTTTTATTTAGTTGAGAAGTATTCATTAATTAAGGCAATCTGCCACTTAAACATGCCTATGACATGGAATAAGTTAGTCCCCTGTCTTCCTCACCAGAGGACATTCCAGCGAGCAGAACCACTGTATGTTTTTTGCTTTCTACTTGGAACAGTTGTTTAATGAAAGTAAATCACAGACAGGATAGGCATTTGGCCTAGTAGCTACACCACTAGTTAAGATACTCATATCCTTATTGGATTGCCTGGATTTGACTGCTGGCACCAATTCCCACCTCCAGCTTCCTGCCAAAACACAGACCCTTGGTGGTGACGGTTCAATAGTGAGATCCCTACCACCCATAAGGGAGATCTGGATTGAATTCTCACTTCCCAATTTTGGGTGTTTGGGGTAATTGAGGAGTAAATCAGCAGGTGAGAGCTCTATGTCTGTCCATTTCTGGTCTGCCTCTCAAATAGAGAAAAACAAAAAGTTCCTACACAAAGTCAGTATACTTCTCCCCAATAATAATAATAATGGGTGCAGGGGGCCCAAGCACTTGGGCTGTCTTCTGCTGCTTTCCCAGGTGAATTAGCAGGGAGTTAGAGTGGAAGTGGAGCAGCCAACACTGGAACTAGCGCCCATATGGGATGTCAGCATTGCAGGTAGCAGCTTTACAAGCTAAGCCACAATTTGGACCCACAGATAATCTGACCTTCCTCTTTCCTATTTTTATGCCTTTAATTTCATTCTCTCGCTTAATATTTGGCTAAAACTTCTAGTACTATTGTGAATAAGAGCATGAGAGTAAACACCCTTGTCTGGTTCTAGACTTTAGAGGAAATGCTTACAGCTTTCCTCCTATTCAATGTGATGCGGGTTGAGGGATTGTTCTATATATGATTTTGAGGTATGCTTCTTTGGTATCTAATTTCTTCAAGTTTTTTTTTTTGAAATCACGAATAGATGTTAAATCTTCTGAGTGTCTTTTCTATGTCTACTGAGATGATAAGATTTATATCTTTCACTCTGTTAGTATGATGTATTGTTTATTGATTTACATTTGTTGAACCATCCCTGCATCTCTGAGATACATCTCCCTTGATCATGATGAATGATTTTTTTGATGTGTTGTTGGATTCAATTTTTAGTATTATTACATCTAACTTCATCAGAAATATTGATCTAAAGTGTGTGTGTCCGTCCTTGTCTTCTTTTGAATCAGGGTAATGCTGGCTTTTAGAATGAGTTTGGAAGGGTTCTCATCCTTTTAATTTTTTTTTTTTGGCAACAGATTGAGAAGAATTGTTGTTAGTCATCCTTAAAAGTTGGTAGAATTCAACAATTAAGCCATCTGGTTCTGTGCTTTTCTATGCTGGAAAACTTCTGATTCCCAATTCAATTCTAGTAACCATTACTGGTCTACTTAAGTTTTCTATGACTTAATGGTTCAATCATATTAAGGTACATACATTCAGAAATTTATGAATTTTTGTCTAGGCTTTCTAATTTATTGATATATAGCTGTTCATAATAGTTCTTTCTTTTTAAATTTTTTTGACAGGCAGAGTGGACAGTGAGAGAGAGAGAGAGAAAGGTCTTCCTTTGCCGTTGGTTCACCCTCCAATGGCTGCCGCTGCCGGCGCGCTGCGGCCGGCGCATCGCACTGATCCAAAGCCAGGAGCCAGGTGCTTCTCCTGGTCTTCCATGGGGTGCAGGGCCCAAGCACTTGGGCCATCCTCCACTGCACTCCCTGGCCACAGCAGAGAGCTGGCCTGGAAGAGGGGCAACCAGGACAGAATCCGGCGCCCCAACTGGGACTAGAACCCAGTGTTCCAGCGCCGCAGGTGGAGGATTAGCCTATTGAGCCGTGGCGCTGGCCCATAATAGTTCTTAATGATTTCTTCTATTTTTATCACTTTATTATCTCTTTTTTCATCTATTTTAATATTTTTCTTAGTTTAGCTAAAGATTTATCAATTTTATTCTCAGAAAAACTTCATTTCATTGATGTTTTCTAGTTTTTAAAGTTTTATTTATCTCTGTTATGATCTTTATTATTTCTTTTTACTAACTTTTAGTTTGGTTTTTTTTTTAATGTGTCCTTGAGATGCACTGTTTGGTTTCTGGATATGTTTCTATTCTTTAATATAAATGCTTATTGCTATAAACTTCTACCCTAATACAGCTCTTCTATGTCCCATAAATTCTGGTGTGTTTTTGGCCTTTCATACTAGTTAAAAGGTTTTTCTTTTCATCTCTTCAATGACTCATTTTTTAGTCAGTAGGATATTGTTCAGTCCCCAGGTATTTGTATAATTTCTAGATTTTTTTTGCTGTTAATTTCTATTTTTAATTCTATTGTGTAATGAAAGATATGATTTGATTTTTAAAAACTTGTTAAATCTTGCTTTGTGGTACATGTAGTCTATCCTAGAGAATGTGCAGAAGAAAACAATGTGTATTCTGCAGCTGTTGGATAGGAGGTCTGTAAATGTTAGGTCCATTTGGTCTGTAGTATAGTTTAATGTTTCTTTGTTGATTTTTCATCTGAATCATCTGTCCATTGTTGGAAGTCCCTCAGCATTATTTATTGGAATTTGTTTTCCCTTTAGATCTAATAGTGTCTTTTTTATAAAATTAGATGCATTGCCATTTGATGCATATACATGTACAATTGTCATGTCTTCTTTCTGAATCTGATCCCTTGATCTTTGTCTCTTTTTATAGCTTTTGTCTAAACTCTATATTGTTTCATATAACTGCTCCTGCTTGCTTCTGGTTTCCATTTGCATAGGATATCTTTTTCTGTCCTTTTGTTTTCAGACTATTTGTGTCTTTAGTGGGGATGTGAGTTTCCTGTAGGTATTGTGTTGTTGGGTCTTGTTTCTTAATTGACTCATCCAATCTGTTTCCTTTGAGAATTCAATCCATTTCCATCAGAGTTATTATTGACAAGTAATGACATTGTAGTCATTAAAATTATCTTCCCTTTGTTTTGAATACCTTTTTTTTGAGTGTGTTTTGGACTTTCATATGTTTTTATGATGGTTGTTATCTTTGGCTTGTGTATGTAAGACTCACTTAAGCATCTTTTGTTAGGGTGGTCTTGTGCTGATGAATCCCTTCAGTTTTTGTTTGTCTTGTAAAGTATCCATCATTTAAGAAAGGTAAGTTCACTGAGTTAAGTATTCTTGGTTGGCAAATGTTTTCTTTCAAAACCTAGAAAATGTCATTTCATATCCACTTGGCCTGTAAGGTTTCTATTGAAAAATCTGTCAATCTAATGAAAGGTCCCTTAAAATATTTTAAAAGATTTTATTTATTTATTTGAGAAGTGAATTACAGACAGTGAGATGGAGAGACAGAGATAAAGGTCTTTCATCTGCTGGTTTACTCCCCAAATGGCCACACAGGCTGGAGCTGTGCTGATCTGAAGCCAGGAGCCAGGAGCTTCTTCCAGTCTCCCACGCAGGCACAGGCAACCAAAGACTTGGGCCATCTTCCACTGCTTTCCTAAGTCATAGCAGAGAGCTGGAATGGAAGAGGAGCAGCCGGGACTAGAACTGGTTCCACATGGGATGCTGGCGCTGCAGGTGGTAGCTTTACCCGCTATGCCACAGTGCTAGCCTCAAGGCCCCTTAAAATTAACCTGATACTTTTCTCTTACAGATTTTAGAATTCTCTTTGTCCTCTGTTTTTGAGAATTTGACAGTCATATATCACAGAAATGAACTTTTTTTTAAAAAAGATTTATTTATTTATTTGAAAATCAGAGTTACACAGAGAGGAGAGGCAGAGAGAGAGAGAGGTCTTCCATCTGATGGTTCACTCCCCAATTGGCCGCAACGGCTGGAACTCCACTGATCTGAAGCCAGGAGCCAGGAGCTTCTTCCTGGTCTCCCATGCAGGTACAGCGGCCCAAGGGCATGGGCCATCTTCTACTGCATTCCCAGGCCATAGCAGAGAGCTGGATGGGAAGTGGAGCAGCCGGGACTTGAACCAGTGCCCATATGGGATGCTGGCACTTCAGGCCAGGGCGTTAACCCGCTGCGCCACAGTGCTGGCCCACAGTGATAACTTTTGTGGTCATTCTATTTGACATCCTATGATCCTCTTGTATTTGGATGTCCATATCTTTCTCTGTATTGGGGACATTTCCAACTGTTATGCCATTTAATAGGCTTTCTAAGCTTCTTTTCTTTGTCCTCTGGAATCCTCATTGTTGAATCGTTATTTGTTTAATGGTGTTCCAAATGTCCCAGATATGTTTTTGGTCTGACTTGGGTATTTCAAATTACTGTGTTCAAGTTCAAATATTCTTTGTTCTGCTTGTTCTGGTCTGCTGTTAAAGCTTTTGATTTGACTTTTTTTTCACTTCCTGAGTCTTTCATGTCCAAGATTTTTTTTTTTTTTGGTTCAAATTCAAAATCTCTTCTTTTTTTACTGAATTCATCATTCTTGTCATGCATTGGGGATTTCTTTCAATTTTCTGTCTGTATTCTCTTGAACCTCTGAGTGTTACACTCATTCTTTTGAATTATTTAACAGATGTTACCTCAGTCTCTTTTTCTTTTGAATCTCTTACCAAAACATTATTATGTTCCTTTGTTGGTGTCATACTGTGTACTTCCTATGTGTGTACACTGATATTTGCACATCTAGTGGATTAGTTATTTCTGCCAGTTTTAATGAGTGGGTTTTATGGAAACAGGTTTTTGAAGACACTTCTTCAGGTATCACTTTAATAAGCTATTTTATCTTTATTTTCAGTTGGGTGCTAAGTAGTCTCCCTGTATCTTTTATAGCCATTGATTGTAGTAGCAGTGGGGCTATGGAGTGTTCCTCTCAGACTCAGCAAGAGTGTGTATATCTCAGTAACAGGCCATGGGGAAAGGTCCATGGTCAATGGGACAACTGTTTTCAGTCCACTTGTGTATCACACCAGGGTGCAGGTCTTTGCCTGGTGCAGAGCAGACAGAAAGGCTGCATCTGTGAGCAGATACAGAGCCATTTGAGCTTTACCTGGTGCTGAGTCTCACCACAGCGGGTTCTACTTTCTAGTGGCTTTAGTCTTGCTCTGCCTATGCTGGAGGTTGGGGAGAGGGGATCAGGCTGAAGCCATGAGCCTAGAACTCCATCTGGGTCTTCCACATGAGAAGCAAGGACTCAAGTACTTGAGCCTTCATCTACTGCTTACCAGGATAGGCGTTAGCAGGAAGCTGGATCGGAAGCAGAGGTGGTGGTACTCAAATCAGGAATTCTGGTATGGGATATGGGCATCCTAAACTGTGACTTAACCACTGTGCCAGACACCTGCCCCTGTTTTTGATAAAAGCCATCCCAACAGATATGATACCTCAAGGTTTTGGTTCACATTTCCATAATTAGAAAAATTGAGCATGTTTTGTATACTTTTAGGCCATCTGTATATTTTCTTTGGAGAAATGTCTATATAATTTCTTTAACATTGTTGGATTATGTTCTGGAATGCTCCTTTCACTAGGGAGTAGTGTGGTATACATTCAAATATGTTTTATTTTTGCTGTGATTCCTCATTACATGGGTATGAATGTCATGGGAATAAGAAAAATAAACCTCATTTAGCTCCCCAGTCTAAGATGTGTTCTCCAATGCACTTACTCCCATAATGTTCAGGATTGGAAATCACTGGGCACTAACTTAGCTTTCCAATAGTGATCAGGCACACAGTGCTCCAACAGGGCTGTGGGATAGAATTTAGATTTGTATTTTAACAAAACAACACTGAATCCTAAGAAGTGTCAAGATGATAGCAGGTATTCAATAACATTTTAAAAATAAATTGATGAAACTCAAAGGAAAACTATAGAAGCTGGCAGTGGTATAAGAAGAGTCAGAAGGACTACCAGGGAGTAAAACCTGACAAGACTGAGTATATGAGACACAGGAAATAGTTTTCAACCTATAGAGCAATTTTGATAGCACAAGTTGATAAGAAGATAAATTGGAAGCTGGTTCAGGAAAAATCAGTGTGCTGTTGCCAAAAAAAAAAAAAAAAAAAAGGAATTTTCTCCTGATAAAGCATATAGGAGAGACAGTTTCTGCAGAGAAAATTTGGAATGTATTTTCTGAGGTAATGAGAAAACATGATTTACTGGCAGAGCTTGGTTTATGGAATCATTACAATAGAAATTTTCCATGTGGTAGAGAAAGAAAACAAGCTCAAGAAACTTTATCTAACACTCACCATTAGTAATAAGAAAGAAATGAAGAAGATGATGAAATCACACAGTAAAGCAGAAATCCAGTACACAAAGACAGAGGTTCCACTCAAAAACTGGATATGCTTTGCCTTAGAAGTTTTCTCAGTCACTGTCAGGAGACAAAATCCACTGATCAGAATAGCCACACCAAGCTGTATATTGGAGGCCACCATATTTCCATTTTCAGTTCTACAGAATAAGGAACAAAAGAAGATATATCACAAAATTAACAAGGCAGAAAATATACATTTCTATCAATAGCTGTCTTGGGAATGTAAATGTTATAATACAGGCTGGGAAGTGTAACACTCAATTCTATTGAAAAGAACAGCATACCTTTCCTTATCTTTACTGTTAGGGCGTGGCTGAGGTTTGTTGGACACTGTTAAGGAAGCATCCTTGCCAGAAACTGACATGGACAGAACGTTGTCTAACACTGCTAGGGCCACAGATGGTGAATGATAAGCTTCATTGTTGAACAGAACAGTAAATACTGTCTCATTTGTTTTCACCTCAATGGAAAGCGCGATAATATATAAACGATTATCACTATTTTCCATTAAGAAATTCAGTAGATCACCTAGGATAAGGAAACAAGATTGGTCAGTGTTTCCACAATTCAGGTAACCTACAAAAGATGCCTGTAAAGAGGAACAAATAGTTTTCTCATACCTTTCAATTTCCCACAATGATTGCTTAAAACAATTGCCATTCTCCTCAAGTACATTAATCCATCATTAAGTTTGAAAATCTCAGTTCATAGTAATAATGTAAACTACAATTGCAATGAGAAAACAGAATAGATCTCTCAACTTGCTTATCTGCCTTACATGGATTTTTAAGTAGTTCACTTACAGCACTGATTGCTTATCTTAGAGCTGACAAAATCTTCCTCCACAAAGCAAGGAAAACTAAAAAATGTTTAAAGAACCTACTTGAGTGCATTAGAGTTCTAGAAAAGCAATATACAGTTGAGGACTAAGACCTTGGGAAGAATAAAATGCACTGAAGTTAGTCCAACATTTTACAACTCTTTTTTTCTTTAAGGCTTTAATATGATTTATAAATGGTAGGAATGCCTGAATAAAATTTCAAGTTGTCAACAGGGACTTTGTTGGAGTGGTATACCCTAATAGTAGTGAGGAAGAAGTACAAGAGACATTCAAAGAGTTCATGAAAAAATGAGTATTGTGAAAAAATGCATTGATTTCAAAATTTTTATATCAAAATAAACTTATCTTTCAATTACACATATCCATGAGCTCACTGAAATACCCATATAGACTAATTCTTAAGTATTTTCAATACAACCTCAAACCACTTTGATTCCTGATTAGATTTAGATCTTCCCTCAATCTTAACTACCTTAAATAAAATCTCTGGAAAAGATAAACTCATGTAGAATTTTTATAACTTTCATTGATATATTTGCCATTGAATTAACAAATTATAGGTATACTAAGAAACAGAACCAAGAGAAAGCACAGATAACAGAAAGAAATTCACAGGTGCACAAGATAGTAGAGAGAATTTACCAAATGTTGATATCAGAATTAAAAATCAAATCAATACTTCAATATATAATACAAAGCAGATTAAAAACAAGTAAAGAGTAGATAAGGGAAATGGAAGAGAGTTGATTAAAAAATATCAAGGAGAGCTAGATGACATCTAGCCTAGTGACTTATTTGATTCTGGATTTACTCTTTCCCTCACATTCAGTTCAGTTTGATATTATATTTGATTTTATGCTTATTTTGTGTCAGGAGTTGAGTAAGGTGCTGGAGATAGAAAGGAAGTCCTTGCTTCTTATAATCTAGTTTGAGAGATAGATGAAAAATACACAATTGTAACAGTGTGATAAACTGCATAAAAGAGGGATGTACCTAAATTATGGAAGATGAGGAAACATTTAGTTCTGTTTGGAAAGGAAAACAATATTTTTATGTTATTATTGTGCTATATTACTTCCTAAAGCTCATATCAACTTATTTCATGGCTATGATTAAAGAGTTACTAGTGTTCCTCCCAGTTATAATTAAGAAAATTAGATATGAGACATTAGGTAGGCATGTATTTCCTCATTGGAAAACATTTTCCTATAGTTTGGGCAAAGAGAAAGAGCAGTTTCTAAAGAATTTTTGCCCTTTCTGTACACTAAAGATTAAGAAGTAAAAAAGGCATGAAATTTGTAATACAGGGAAACCATATAAAACTAGTAGTATGCAGTATAAAAGGCTCTTTGGCTAAGAAAATAAGAAAAGCTTAGAAATTACACGAAATTTTCTTAAAGCAAAATTAGTCTGTTGGAGCCTAAAGACCGTATCTCTATGCTCAGATTATTTTTAGCTAATGAACAGAAAGATAACATTCAATTGAAAATAGAGATTGATGGGGCTATTACATTGTTCCATTAAGTTTTTAGTCTCACTATTGGTATAACAGAACATATTCAGTTAATCATTTTTATATTTTTAAATGTGAATAGTGTACTGTATTACAAAAATAATCATTGTATGAATCAGAGAACCTCTTTACATGTATTGTTGGTTTAATAAGTGTTCCTCTCTTATTATTGTAAGACAGGAGGAATAGGGATAATTATTTGCTATCAGCTAATCAATTATTTGTGGATTGTTAAACAGAATTTCGTTTTTAAGGAGCAATCAACACTTCCAAATACATTTTCACCCCCTCACAACACATCCTGAAGAACACAGAATAATCAAAGCAGACTTGCTATTCCTGTAGAGCGTTTGCTAACCTAAAGGACCACTGTCCATCAGGTGGCAATTACAGGAAAGAACATGGTATCTGTGAGGAAACGATTATACTTGAAAGAAAATAGACTTTTTTCAGAGAGGTAATGTGGTACAGTGAGTTCTAAGTTTGAGGATTCAAGGCAGATCAGGCTAAATTCAAGTCTCTATATTTCAGATAAGAGTCGGAGAACTCAAAAGGCTTCCATAGCCTTGGAAACTCATGACTGGAGCATAGGGAGATTACTGATGCCATAAACAGGAGTGTCAATTTGTAAAGTCAACAACAGGAGTCACTGTGCACTCACTCCTCATGTAGGATCTCTGTCCTTAATGTGCTGTACATTGAGATTTAATGCTATAACGAGTACTCAAACAGTATTTTTCACTTTGTGTTTCTATGTGGGTGCAAACTGTTGAAATCTTTACTTAATGTTTACTAAACTGATCATCTGTATATATAGTATTTGAAAATGAATCGTGATATGAATGGAAGGGGAGAGAGAGCGGGAAAGGGGAGGGTTGCGGGTGGGAGGGAAGTCATTGGGGGGTGGGGGGAAGCCAATGTAGTTCATAAGCTGTACTTTGGAAATCTATATTCATTAAATAAAAGTTAAAAAAAAGTTCTGCAAATAAGCAATAAAAAAGTCTCTATATTTCCTAGATGATTGATGTGAGACAAATTATTTGACTCACTCAAATGTTAGTGCTTCATTTAAATGAGGGTAGTAAAAATATATACAAACATGATGACTTCAAATTAAATGATATACAGGTAAATATTTTACTAAAAAACACAACAAAATAATACTCAATAACAAATTAGACAATGCAAACTATGACTATTTCTATCTTAAAAATAAATGTTCTTAGTTACTAGTCCACTAAGTCTTCCAGAATTCTTCTTAATTCATGCTTAATTTCTCAGCAACTATTGGCACTATGGGTTCTTTCTCTCTCTCTCTCTCTCTACCTCCCTCCCTCATTCCCTCCCTCTCTCTTTTTACTTGAAAGGAATAACAAATGCCTTGTATTTAATCCACAACCAAAATGCATCCACTAAAAATTTACTGTTACAGCTAGTAGCCTTATAGAGGGCATTTCTTGATTCACTTAACTACTTCTAGAATATTGATGACTAGCAGAAAAAAATGTAGCAAATAGTCAAATATAGTTAAGATCCTTCTTTGGAAGTAGCACAATCAGATTATCTAACAGCAGTCCTTTTTAATTTTTATTTTTTCTTAATGGATCTTACCTTTCACTTCTTTAAGTTTTTGTTTCTCAGATATTAGCTTACTCTCAAGGAGTTTTAAAAAATTTGTAGTCAAATCAGAATTTCCAGAAATAGAATAAGGCACAATGGTCTGACCATATTCACCCAAATCCATTTTTCTAGCCTTCTCTTCAGCATTTGAAGGGTTAGCAACCTCAAACAGAAAGGCAAAGGAAGCTGCAAGTCCCAGTACCTGTACCAAAACCAGTTTCCAATTGCGCCAACTGAACATTATTCTCTTTAAGAACATGGCACGAAACTGTTGGCAGTAGAGGGAGCACTAAAGAAGGGAGAAATAAAACATGATGATAGTCATAGACCTAAACTTATCATTCATGGTGAAATTAATTAAGATGAATGCATTGAAATTTTCTGATACAAACACACATGGTATAATCATATAAACTTTATATACATACATACTTGGAATCTGAAGCACAGATGATAGAACACACTAGTATCTTTTGCCAGAATAAGGCAGGAGAGAAAAAGCTATGGATTATTTTTTGTAAACAGAGTTTCACTGGAACACAGCTATGTCCACTCACTGCTGGATTGTCATGGTAGCTTTCATAATACAATGACAAAGTTGAATAGCTGTGATGGAGACAATATGGCCCACAAAACCTTCAACATTTGTGGGATCTACCTAAAGTTTGCCAATTTCTGCTATTTGATTTTTTGGAAATTTTTATAAGATTTATTTATTTATTTATTTGAAAGGCTGAGTTACAGAGAGGCAGAGGCAGAGAGAGAGAGAGAGAGAGAGGTCTTCCATCTGCTGGTTCACTCCTCAGATGGCTGCAACAGCCCAATTTGTGCCAATCTGAAGCCAGGAGCCAGGAGCTTCTTCCAGGTCTCCCACATGGGTGCAGGGGCTCAAGGACTTGGGCCATCTCCCACTGCATTCCCAAGCCATAGCAGAGAGCTGGATCGGAAGTGGAGTAGCCAGGACTTGAACTGGTGCCCATATGCCCATATGGGATGCCAGCACTGCAGGCTGTGGCCTTACTCACTATGCCACAGCTCTGGCCCCTACTATATGATATTAAATAAAATGCTTATAAGTCTGGCTTTTGATTTAACACTTAAAATCTCAACAACATGAATTTCTTTAGATTCCTGATAACCAAGTTAACTAGGATGGTTTATAGAAGGAATAGATAATTTGGAAGGACAATGAAAGAAATGTGGTAACTCAAAGAGACTACCCAAGCTGAGGATCATTACTGCTTAGGGAATGATCTGTTAGGTAGTAACAATTTCTACTGCAGAATCTTAAAAACACAGGCTTGACTTTTTAAAAAAAATTAGGCTCACTAGTACCCTTACTCTAGCTTCAATAAACCAAACAATGTCTGGGCTATCAATTTGAAAAATAATATAAGAGAGAAAAAAGAACTGAGAATAATTGATGTGGTCTTTTCCTTCCAAGGTTTGTTTTTGCTCTATATTTTAGCATATTACCCAGAACCTATCCCTTTTGTATTCGTATGTAAGTTAGTGTGTGGCACAAAAGACTCCACCTCTGGTTGTGCTTGCAGTGGCTGAGAACTCCAAATGTCTTTCAGTTAAACATTAAAACAAAATACACTTTATCCAAAACAAATATACACCAGGTTTTTCAGTACAGGTGCTTACCCCAGTATTAAACCTAATAGAGCTTTCATTCAGTGTGGGAGAATGTACCCCCTGGACATCTGATGCATTCCTATTCTGGTTCATTGTGGGTTGGCTCATCTGCGAGGGAGGCTGCATGGCTAGGATATCTTCTGGTACATTTTCCATGTGACTGACCCTGCATCAAAACAAAACAAAAAAGCAACAAAACAATGAACTTTTCATTTCAAACTCATCCCAGGATGTTTGGAGACCGGGAATAGCAGTTCCCAACACAGAAGCTTCCTTGGTTTGCTCATGCCTGGCAGGATCATTGTTTGGAGGCAATATGGTAACTTTGGTAGAACAGTGATTCTCAAAGTCACCCCACCATCCGCCCCTCCTCCCCAGCCCTTACATTTCTAATATGTGAAATATTAAAGTTGCATGAGTGTACAGGGAACTGAGATGTAGACCTTTCCCCCCAAGGTTTGTCTTTTCTCTATATATTATCACTCACCTGAGGAAGACTTCTTCCATAGTAGTGATTGAAGCACCAAAGCTAGCAATACCCAGCTTTTCCTGTCTCTTTTCCAGGGCAGTAAACAGAGTTTCAAACCTAGAAGTAGAAGAGGGAGAGAAAAAGCTGGCACCAAACTAGATGGCTTTCATATTTTTATCTTTTAACCTAAACTGATTTTCCCTTACCAGTTAATAAAATGTAGATCATTCTTTACTTAATTGCTTTTTATAATTTCATGCTTCTTGTAAATCAGAAAGGTTAAACAAATGGAGAGAAAGAAACTAACAAATTGCTTCCCAGTCTACTTGATTCTTGGATAATTATGGTCATTTTTTCAAGTTGTTTTGTTACTTATTTGAAAGGCAGAGCAAAAATGAGTGAGTGAGTGAGTATGAGAGAGACAGAGAGAGATCTTCCATCTGCTGATTCATTCTCCAAATGCCCAAAACAATCCAGGTTAGGGCAAGTCATAACCAGGAGTCAGAGTTCTCCATCTGGGCCTCCCATGTGGCGTCAGGGACACAAGTACTTGACACAAGTACTTGACACAAGTACCTGCTGCCTCTCAGGGTGCACTTTAACATGAAGCTGTTTGAAGCAGAGGAGCCAGCAACTTAACGGCCAAAAGCCACTGATCTTTTTTAGGATGATTATCACAGGTAGAGTTATGTCTTCTTTTACTCCCTTTGATGGATAACTGGGCTAACTGGAGCATTTCTACTGCCTATTTCCTGAGTTCTTGTCATCTTAAATCCAAGAGTTACCATTTAAGTCCTCTTATTTTAATTAAATTTTTAAAAAGATTTATTTATTTGAAATGCAGAGATATGAGGTGGGGGGGGAGGCAGAAAAAGAGACAGAGAGATCGAGAGATCTTCTATCCTCAGGTTCATGCTCCAAATGGCCACAAGAGTTGAGGCTGGGCCAGGCTGAAGCCAGGAACCTATACTCTATCCTGGTCTCCCACGTGGGTGGCAAGGGCCTAAGCACTCAGGTCATCTTCTGTTGCCTTCCCAGGTGCATTAGCAGGGAGCTGGATTGGAAGTAGAACAGCCAGGACTCAAACTGGTGATCATATGGAATGCTGGTGGCACCAGAAGTGGCTTAAGTTGCTGTGCCACAATGCTGGTCCCTGATTACATTTTCTTAATACTTCCCTTCATCTACTCACTAGAAGTGCTTTTTAGTCTACCAACATACTACACCCATGGCTATAGTCATTAAGCAGCATCTCTTTCTTCAGTGCAAATGACAGCTATGAAAGAAGTTGTATCTTACTAAATAAATAAATCTTGCTAAGTCAGAAGAAACCAGGAAAAGCAACCATGATTTCCGGCTATTTAAAAATCAACCACTTAGTACTCTTTAGATTCATACCTGTGTGCATATTCTTTGGGTAGAGTAAATGACAATTCAGTTCCAACATTGCTCTCCATTGTGGCTGCTGGTGCATAGTAATGAATCAATTTTGTGACTTCTTCAACATTACAGTGAGGTTCCTTCACCATGACTATGTGGTATCCTACACCTGAGAAAATTCATTTAGAGGAATTCATAAAACAATTTTTGGATTTCCCATATTCCTGTGAGAGCATGCTTAGCTTCCTATTGCTTGAGTGAGCCAGAAGATACAGCATGAGACAAGTCATTTGCTTACAACTCTAATGAGCCTAGTAAATACATCTTTTATAATTTCATTAATTCTTAGGAACTGATAATTATCTGGATCATTTAACCAGATAGAGCAGAGAAAGGATCAAGTCACTATTATCTGACTTCTCATTTTATTGACACTTAAATCTGAGAGAACAATATTAATATTTGTTAAATGTATATTTATTGGGTACATGATATACGCCAGTAAACAGAACACATAAAATAGTTTTATTTATATATCTTTGATATATCTTTGCAAAATATTTTTTGTACTAATTTAGTGCACTTCACTGGCCTACCAGAAGGTGGGGGTGGATAGGATAGCAGAGAAAAATGCTCTCAGAGCAATCTAGAACTTGTGAAAAACATTGCAGTGGAATTTTGATAGCTCAGGCCAAGACAACAGAGCTGAGGAAAATACCTCTGAATTTCATCAGCCCCTTGCTTCAATAGCAAGGGCAGAAAGGTGGAGAGAACTTCTAAAATACAGAAAATGGACAGAAGGGAAGAACAGAAAAGAGGATTTGTCAGATCCAAAAATCAGGCAACAGGAATCTAAATTACTGAAATCTCCATAATCAAATTCCCGTGTGTGTGTGTGTTTGTGTGAAAGAGAGAGGAGAGGAGAGGAGAGGAGAGGAGAGAAGAGGAGAGAAGAGGAGAGAAGAGGAGAGAAGAGGAGAGAAGAGGAGAGAGGAGAGAGGAGAAACAGCAAGAAAAAGAATTCAAAGCGATATGCATTCTTGGGGCGGAGCCAAGATGGCGGAGTAGTGAGGGCGCGCACCGATAGTCCGGGAAAAGATAGTTTAATAAAAGTGGAGTTACTACCTCCACTTTGAATATGACCTTGTCTAAACAAGATAAGAGTCGGTGAACTCAAAAGGCTTCCATAGCCTTGGAAACTCATGACTGGTGCATAGGGAGATTACTGATGCCATAGACAGGAGTGTCAATTTGTAAAGTCAACAACAGGAGTCACTGTGCACTTACTCCTCATGTAGGATCTCTGTCCTTAATGTGCTGTACATTGAGACTTAATGCTATAATGAGTACTCAAACAGTATATTCGCTTTGTGTTTCTATGGGGGTGCAAACTGTTGAAATCTTTACTTAATGTATACTAAACTGATCTTCTGTAAAAAAAAAAAAAAGAAGAAGAAATTATTAATTCCCAACTTGACTCTCACTGGGACTAAACATGACAATAGGTCTGATCTGATTTCATCATCATTTAAAAAATCATCTATTATTTTTCACTTTATGTTTGTGTGGTAGCAAACTGTTGAAATCTTTACTTAATGTATGCTAAACTGATCTTCTGTATATAAAGAGAATCGAAAATGAATCTTGATGTGAATGGAAGGGGAGAGGGTGTGGGAGAGGGGAGGATTGCGGGTGGGAGGGACGTTATGGGGGGGAAGCCATTGTAATCCATAAGCTGTACTTTGGAAATTTATATTCATTAAATAAAAGTTAAAAAAAAAGTGGAGTTACTGTAGCCTCAGGAAAAGGCTCAGGAAAAAACTGCAGAGGAAACTCTTCCGGATCTAGTGGATGTGACATGGAGAACCTACAGGGAGAGCAAGGTTGACTACCGCATGGAAGCCCAGCTGCAGAGTCTGCGCGCCAGCACTGGAAGGGGAGGTGAGACAAAAACCTTGGTAACCCGAGACATTGGCGGGGAAAGGCAGAAAGAGCCTAGAGGGAATGAGGCCTGAAGCCCCACTGGGGAAAGTTCACCAGGCTGACTGGAGGAGAGAAAAAAACGAATAAATAAGGGGAACTGGCACGGACACTAGCCTCTCTCTCCACTCACCTTACAAAGCCGAGCAAGACAAAGAGCAGGTGCCATTTTACATATGTAAAGTGGTACCCGCCATTAGCCAAGCAGAAAAACCTGACTCTGGTGGGGAGAAATAACAGGAGGTTAGGACCTAGTGAAAGTGTGGAGCTAATGAACTCAGACTGTTAAAAAATGAGGGGGGGCGAGAGAACTCACCAAGTACACAAACTCGGTAACCTTGGCAACCCGGTGCGAGACTGCAGAGAAATTTGAGACCACAATGAGGGCTGCATAAACTCTTTGTGTGGTCCCAGGGGTAGAGCAGATGAATACCCACAGGGGCCAGATTTCATACATCAACTACCCTCAATTCCATTCAGCTGTGTGGAATTACTTCCCAACTGAGTCAAAAAAAAAAAAAAAAGAGAGAGAGAGAGAGCAAGCGAGCGAGAGAACAATCTGGGTGAGTTACTTTGGCACACCCTTAACCCTGAAGAACCAAACAGAGCTCTCTGGCCATACCCATCACAGCCTCTAAAGATCCATCAAAAGCAGACAGTCCACTTAATCTAGAGTCATAGTATAACAAGAAAAAGCACCACAGCGAAGAAACCAAAGAATATCTCCACAGTGTCAAACAAACACAGAAACCGAGGTAACAAGAACAAGGAAGACACTACGATGCCCCGAAATGATAAAGACACCCCGATTCAAGATTACAAAGATGACGAGATAGAAGAAATGCAAGAAGCAGATCTCAAAAAATTGATAAGAACATTAAAAAGTTCTCAAAAACAAATTCTTGAACTACAGAAATATTTAATGGACAAGATAGAAAATCTCTTCTACGAAAATGAAATATTAAGGAGGAATCAAAATGAAATGAAACAACTAGTAGAACATGAAACTGTGATAGTGACGAGAAATCAAAAAGAAATGAAGAATTCAATAGATAAAATGACAAAGACATTAGAGAGCCTTAAAAACAGAATGGGTGAAGCAGAAGAGAGAGTATCAGACTTAGAAGACAGAGAACAGGAAAGGATACAGTCAAACCAAAGAAAAGAAGAGGAAATTAGAAATCTAAAAAATATTGTCGGGAATCTACAGGATACTATTAAAAAACCCAACATTCAGGTTCTAGGAGTTCCTGAAGGCATGGAGAGGGAGAAAAGATTAGAAGGCCTTTATAGTGAGATACTAGCAGAAATTTTCCCAGGTTTGGAGAAGGACAGAGCCATCCTAGTACAGGAAGCTCATAGAACTCCTAGTAAACATGACCAAAAGAGATCCTCACCACGACACATTGTAATTAAACTCACCACAGTGAAACATAAAGAAAAGATCCTAAAATGTGCAAGAGAGAAACGTCAGATTACTCTAAGAGGATCTCCAATCAGACTCACAGCTGACTTCTCATCAGAAACCCTACAAGCTAGGAGGGAATGGCGAGATATAGCCCAGGTACTAAGAGAGAAAAACTGCCAGCCCAGAATATTATATCCTGCAAAGCTCTCATTTGTGAATGAAGGTGAAATAAAGACCTTTCACAGCAAACAGAAATTGAAAGAATTTGTCGCCACTTGTCCAGCCCTGCAAAAGATGCTTAAAGATGTGTTACACACAAAAACATAGAAACACTGTCATCAATATGAAAGAAGGTAAATGAAGGAAACCTCACAGCAAAAGATCACAGGGAATTCAAAGCATATATTAGAACTTATCTTTGGCAAATGGCAGGGCAAAGTTACCACTTATCAATAGTCAGATTGAACATTAATGGCCTGAAATCTCCAGTTAAAAGACATTGATTGGCTGATGGAGTTAAGGAACAAAACCCATCTATTTGATGCTTACAAGAAACACATCTTTCCAACAAAGATGCATACAGACTGAAAGTAAAAGGCTGGAAAAAGATATACCAGGCCAACAGAAATGAAAAAAGAGCGGGCGTAGCCATCTTAATATCAGACAACATAATCTTCACCACAAAAACTGTTAAGAGAGACAAGGAGGGGCACTATATAATGATTAAGGGATCAATTCAACAGGAAGATATAATGATTATCAATGTATATGCACCTAATTACAGGGCACCGGTTTATTTAAAAGATTTGTTAAGGGACTTAAAGGGAGACTTAGACTCCAATACAATAGTACTGGGAGACTTCAATACTCCACTCTCAGAAATAGACAGATCAACAGGACAGAAGATCAACAAGGAGACAGTAGATTTAAACGACACTACAGCTCAAATGGATCTAATAGATATCTACAGAACTTTTCATCCTACACATAAAGAATTTACATTCTTCTCAGCAGTACATGGAACCTTCTCTAGGATTGACCACATACTAGGCCATAAGCAAGTCTCAGCAAATTCAAAAGAATTAGAATCATACCATGCAGCTTCTCAGACCACAGTGGAATGAAGCTGGAAATTAGCAACTCAGGAATCCCTAGAACATACGCAAACACATGGAGATTGAACAACATGCTCCTGAATGAACAAAGGGTCATAGAAGAAATTAAAAGAGAAATAAAAAATTTTCTGGAGGTAAATGAGGATAACAGCACAACATACCAAAACTTATGGGATACAGCAAAAGCAGTGTTAAGAGGAAAGTTCATATCAATAGGTGCCTACATCAAGAAATTGGAAAGGCACCAAATAAATGAGCTTTCCATGTATCTCCAGGACCTAGAAAATCTGCAGCAAACCAGACCCAAATCTAGTAGGAGAAGAGAAATAATTAAAATCAGAGAAGAAATCAACAGGATTGAATAAAAAAAAATTACAAAAAATCAGCCAAACGAGGAGCTGGTTTTTTGAAAAATAAAATTGACACCCCATTAGCCCAACTAACTAAAAAAAGAAGAGAAAAGACCCAAATCAATAAAATCAGAGATGAAAAAGGGAATATAACAACAGACACCACAGAAATAAAAAGAATCATCAGAAATTACTACAAGGACTTGTATGCCAGCAAACAGGGAAACCTATCAGAAATGGATAGATTCCTGGACACATGCAACCTACCTAAATTGAACCAGGAAGACATAGAAAACCTAAACAGACCCATAACTGA